ATACTTATGAAAAGTATCTTTAGCGCGATTTAAAGGTACTAGAGGTTATTAAATTAAGCTTCTTTCGCTTCGTATTAATTTAGAATTTTAATAAGCCATACGTTCGCGATTAACGCCTTTTTTAACGTAACGTAAAAGAACGTATACTTAATTATTACCCTATTTACCGCGTAAATAAAGACCCTAACGAGCTAGAGTCGTTTTACTACGTTAAGCTTATATTAAATTATCCGTATATTAATGAAGAAGAGTTATTTTTAATTAACGGTACTTAATTTCTAACGTATATACTAACGTATACGCGATATTAAATAACCTATTAATACGAGAATAATTACTACGGCGACCTTCCCGGACCCGACGAAGAGGAATTCGAGCTCCTAAAGGAAAAAGAGTAGGCTTTAAACGAGGAGGACTAGGCTAAACTAACGCGTTTACTTCCGAATTAAGCGCTTACGTAAGAAATATTTAACGTATTTAGGAATAAAGATATCGACGTAAATTACGATTAAGTTATATACGTAGCCCGATATAAGTACCCTTACTTTTACGATTTTATTTATTAACGTAAGATAATAAGTACTACGGATACGCCGGAGTAAGAGATCGTTCCCTTAAATACCCGTAATACGTTAAATCCGGAATAAAGGCTAATTTACGATACCGTTCTTAGTTACGTATAAAGTCGCAACTAAAACTAACTCCTGTTTTAAATCGACGATAGTAGCGGTACTAAAAAATCGTATCTAATTAAGATTTTAGCCTCTTACGTTCGCTAGGCTTTTACTTAAGATTCGGTAGCCCTTATTACCTTAATTAACGCTACGAATAATAACATTCGCAAGAAAACGATATATTCTTTCCTTCGTTTATCCGTAAAACGTAACTTTAAACCGTTCTTTAATAACGCTTTCGCTAAGATATAACGACGCCTTATTAACCTTCGCTATTTAATTATCGACGAAAAGAGTATATTAAGGTTACGTATACTTAGGTTTATTAACCGCTATTTACAGTAGATATTCCTACGTAATTCGCGGGTTTTTAATAACGTAAATATAATCTTAATCGGCGACTTCTTTTAGTTACCCTTAGTATTATTAAAGCCTATCTATACTTTTAATTCGACGTATCTTTCGGTAAACGAATTCGTCGGCTATAATACGTATAGAGCTTTTTCTAAGTCGGTATTTCTATCGGTAGTTTAGCGCTAGATAAGCGAGGACTAGGCGCTTTTTCGAAAAGCGCTAAACGAATTACGCTTAACGTAAGTCTCCGTCGAATCGTTTTAGCTCTTATTTACGAAAATAACCGCGGTATTAACTAAGTAAGATCGTTTCGGCTTTAAAGAAGCGGTACGTATATATTCTACGCGTAAAGAGGTACTTTAATATAATTTTAACTATCTCGTAACGCTTAATTCGCTAATTATTTAAACGTACGTTATTTATTACGGCCGAAAAGCGCTAAACGCGCCTAACGACTTAGCCGGTAACCTTTTCTCTAAGCTATTACTCTATATAAGCGCTCGAGTAATATTATTACGTAATATCTCTTCCGAAATACGGCTTATAAATAACTCCTAAGGCTTTATTTACGATATAAGTTAAACGTAAGGCGCTAATCCTAAACGCGAGCCGCTAATAGTAGTTATAATAACTTTCGACGATTACGACGGACCTAGGTTTAAAAATACTTAAGGAAATAAGCTACGCGATTCTCGAGGGAAAAAGGTAGTATTAATATTACGCGAGCGCTAGGAGTTCGACTATAAGGGTATCTCTTATATACGAGAATAATTCCCCCTAACTATCTTATACGTAATAACCGTTTATAAAGCGTAAGGTATTATTATTCTTTACGCTATCGTTAGAATTATAGAAAAGGAATTCGCGTCAAGGTTAAATTACGTCGCCTACTTTAAGGTTACCTCGTTATAAGGCCTAATATTCGACGAGCCGTTTTATAAAAATACGGTATATAAGGAGCTAATAAATAGTAAGTTTCTTTTTACGTTCGTTAATATTTAAGCTAATATATATTTCGTAGGTATAAAAGTTAAACTAAAAGATAAAGATCTCCGTTTACGTATATAGCTATTTACTTAACCTTTATACTTATTACGATACCCTTATAAATAATATACTTTAACGTTATAAATAATAAATAATAATAGCGTATATATATTAATTCTATCGAGCGAATATAGTTTATAATACTTTAATTAATCTCTATATAACTAAACCGCGTAAAAGTAAAGAATACGGGTATAAAAGTAACGTAAATATATTATTTTTTATATAAAAGTACGTTTTTCTTACTTTAATTACGGAGCGTCTTTTAAAGTACGCCGCTCTTTCCTAACGTATAAAGATATCGTAACTTCCTTAGAAATTAGCGCCGTACCTTCCTTTAATCGCGACTTCTTATAACGCTTCCTTATTTACGAAATAAAATAACTTATTTCCTATTATTAATTACTTTTACTATTTCCTTTCCTTTTTCCTTACGCCTCTTACCCCTCCTATAATTACGTAAATTTAAACCTTTACATATAGTTAATTAAGCTTAAAACGAACGCTAACGATATTTCGTAATCTTTTATTTAATAAAATAAAATTAAAGTAGTTAAAAAAAGTAAGAAATTTAATACGCGCGTAATAGATTTAGCTAATTAAAATAATATCTAAGATTTCGACTACCGAACTCGTTAACCTAAGCCTCGATTAGTTATCGGTTAACGACGCCCGCTGCGTAATTAATATTAATATTACGATAGGTAGTATTAATAACCTAGCGGCCGCCGGCGGCGGTAGCGACCCTCCCTCCCCTAGTATACCTTATAAAATAAGTTATACTTTACGAACTTTATAGTATAAAAAAAATACGCGATTAAATAATAATATACGTAGGCGTTAATTTTACTATATAGAATCTACCTATAAACCGAATCCGTTTCCTTATTAATAGCGACGACGACGACGACGACGACGACGGTAGCGACGACGGTAGCGACGACGATAGCGACGACGACGGTAATAAAGAAAGAGCGTTACCTTATAAGGTATACTTTAAACGAATTAATCGATTATAAGCGAACGCTTACGTAAAAAAAACCGGTATATAAAATAGCGTAAAAAACGCGAAAAGTTACGTATACGCGATAACTAATAAATATAAAAGATAATCGCTACTATTATTATTATAAGGGCTACTACGCTTACGCTAAGATACCCCGGAAGGCCGAGCTAAAGCTCGTTAAATTTATAAAATTAAAAAAAGCTCTCGATTTAAAAAAAATTAATAAAAAAGTACGTTAATACGTAATAAAGTACGCTAACGTAGAAATTTTAATTTAAAATAAGCTTTTAATAAAGTCTATAAGAAAACTAAAAAGGTAATCCGGAAGGCGGAAGAGCGGGTTATAAAGTAATAAGGATTAGATATTAATGCTTTTTCTAGTAACGAATTATTACGAAAAATCCTACGTATATTATAGTGGTACGGTAAGACATGCCCTCTTAGTGCATTACGTAATACGCTACGATAGGCCTTATGCCTATATAGAGTAACCATAGCTCCCGTAAGTACGGGATATGCTATACTTATTATTTAGTTTATTACCTAGTTAGATTACTATCTTTATTATTTTTGCCTTAATTAAAGATTTATTTTAGCCATTAGATTCGTCGTTCTCCGATTAATATATCTATCTTAGTTATAGGCGCTTAAGTTACTTCGTCGTACCGCTATAGCCGAATAAGTAACTTTTACGTTTTGCCCCTTTTCTTCTCTTACCTCTTATGCCTTCGGGCTAGCGACTATTATATCTCTACGACTAAGGGGCATAACTAAGATACGATAACTACATTAGATTCCTTATCTTTCGATTAGTATAGCGATACTAGTTTCATTTATCTTAGACCATCGTACGTACTATAGTCTTCGATAGAGTATACTTTCGAGTGAATATATCCGGGTCTCTAGTATCGCGTATGCTCTGCTCCTCCTTAATATTACGAAAAAAAAATACGGATACGTAGAAAAAAGTAGAAAAGAAACGTAAAAAAAAGTAATAAAGATATAAGTTTAAGAGTTTCGTAGTTTTATTAAGTATAACGCCCTTTTTTAATATAGAAATTACGTACCTACGTAATTTTAACTTTAAAAAATTTTTTCTATACTAGATTTCTTTTATATTTTATTCTTTTTAAATTCGTTTTACTATATACGTTTTTTATCGTAAATAATATACGCTTTACTTAATATAATATACGTTAACGTAAAAATTTAAACTAGTTTTAAATTTATAAAAGATAGTTTCGTATGAACTATAAGTTTTCTATATATAATTTCTTGCGTTTTCTAGGTTTTCTATAATAAATAAAGTTCGTAGCTCTAAAAATCGGTATTAAATAAACTAAGTATACTTTCTATATCTCTCTATCCTCCGGATAGGTTATTATTTTTAGCGTTTACGTTAAAAATAAGCCCGAATTATTCTACGAAGCAGAATAATTCGGGCCTTATTTTAAATCAAATGGAGAGAAGAACTTGACTGGTTGATCTTGTCCACCGTCCCAGCTTGGATCCCGTTGCCGCCTCCCTGCTACCTACCTATGGTGTGCAGCTGACGACGAAAGGAGGCCGAGAGGGGGGAAGGAGAAAAACATGGCCCACGGAAAAGGTGCCGCTGACACCTGCTTTACAGGGCTATACGTGAGACGTCGACCCCGCAGCTATGTTTTCATGCATCCATTAGATGCTAACGGAAGGGTCAGAAAAAGAAAGGTGGGGGAAAAAATGAGCTATCACGATACCGACGGAGAGAACTATCTCAGACACGCAGCACGACAAATCATTCCAGATTCGGTGGTGGCACCTCCCCCTCAGGCTCCCGAGACACATCATCGTTATCCCAGACCCTCGGCTGTTAACCCGAACCACACCGTTACGTTGAGGAGGTAAAGGCATGCTCAAAGCTGATTCTAGTATCGGGTCTAGCGTGTCGGTGCCCGGGGTCCTTTGCAGCCGCCGCGGGACCCGTCCGCTTCGTCGGGGATAGCTAAATATAGGTATAAGGAAGGAGAGGTAGCGTCCACGTGCTCTGGGAGAACTCTATAGACAAGTTGCACAGACACGGGGCGCAACTTGCGAGAACTGCCAACTCCCGTTGGATCTCTAGAGTTGTACTGCGGTACCGTTCTACGCTATTGCTCAGACGGCCCGGGGGAGCCCTCCGACGAACTCGGGCTCCCAGAGATAGAGCGAGGAAGGTAGAAACCTAGCTTCACTATGGGAATGCTAAGGCCGTGGACAACCTTTTACTTCATAAGTATACCTAATAGAAAATCCCGTGACACTTTGGGATGAGAGGCTGAAGCTACTTACGACGCTGCTAATCACCATGAACCAGACGAGAACCGACACGGCCTCCCGGAGATGGGCCACATCCCCTCTCGGCTCGTTTCCTCGACCGGGATTTAGGGCCGTGATAAATTCCAGCGTGACGTACAAAAGATAGCCGAGCAGCTGATCGGGCCAAAAAAGCCCATAAAGACAGCATGCCGTAGACTTTCTATCTGCGGGATTCTCTTACGGAGCACCAGGATAGACGGAAGGCGCCTGAACAGCAGCACGAGGATCGCGAGAAGGATTAGCCGGGGCAGAGAGGTAATGCTATTCGCCGGAAAGCTATACCACTGGTAGCATCTCCATGTCAGCGCATTTGGCGGCGGTTCACGTCGGGCAGCCTTGGTAAGCACTAGATATGTATCGAAGACAACTCGCACTTCTATAGCCCGTACAACGCGGCGGGAGGGTACATGGGTATTTTTATATATACTCACAGGGCAAACAGCGCCGTACCACATGAACACGGTTACATTGAGGAGCATATCGATAGTAGGCTGAAGCGAACTGGGACAAGGCACTACAATTAGCAAACTAGATCAATAGTTTCGAAGAGCGTTGCTGAGCGGGTAGTCGTAGACGCATACTACGCCCTCGTCAGTACACCGTATTAAACACAGGGCCGCACTCGCCATACATACCTCATCGAGTGTCTCGAGGCGGTACCGATCGTCCCAATTGAAGACATTGCCGGCGACGAAGCAAGCGAGGATGTCGTCGGTGCCGATCATGCCGCAAGTGCCGGTGATGAAGAGGGCGAGCGAGAAAGCAAACGCGACAAAGCTCTCGTGGTCAATGATCCTACGCTCCTCGCACAAATGAAGCAATACCCTGGCGGCCCAACCCGCGAACGCGCCGTACACCACGCTGAAGATGATGGTATATCCCATCGTCTCCCCGACCCACAGGCTCATGGCGAGGCCGGCGCCTCCCAGTTCGGAACGACCGCCGTCGCCGACATACTTGATCAAGTATAGGGCGAAGAACAAGAAAGGGTAGCCGAGCCCGTCATTCGCCCCGGACTCGGCGATGATGAGGCTCTGGAGATCTTTAGGGACGTTTTTGTCGGCGAGCCTGCCCTTCACAATGACGTTAGAGAGCACCGGGTCTGTCGGCGTGACGCAAGCCCCTATCGCAAGGGCGTGGAGGAAAGGCAGGCGCGGTATCAGGGCCCAGACGAGGAGGCTGGTGGCCACCCACATCGCCGCCATGAGCGGCCTGAGGAGCAACCCCAGCGGCTTCCATTCCTGCCGCAAGTACCGGCTGGGTAGCTGGCCCCCGGCAAAGAGCAGCTGGACTCCGAGCACCAGGCGAGTAAAGGACAAGGTCTGCAACGAGGGTGGTGGTGAGCACTCCTCACTTAAGGGGATGGGTCTTCCGAGCTTTCTCACAGCTGCATCCAGGTTTTCCTCCGAACCAGCATATTCAAGAGGCCGAATAAAATTGGCCCCGCGGGGCGAGAAGACGAGGCCAGCCAAGAGGGAGATGACTAGGCCGATGGAGGGTTCGTGGTTAGCCAGCTCTACATATGCGTGCCTAGGCGGGCGTATGCAGGTCTCAGAAAGAGAGACAGGGTATGGGGGGGTAGACATGCCCGGGGAGACTTACGAGCCTCTGACATATAAAAATGCTCCTTTACCAAGTAGGACACGAGGCCAAAGGCCAAAATTCACCCCCCAAACACGCCGAGGACGATGTTGAAGCTTGTAAGAGCAAGAGTCGGCATTTTGCTATTGACTCGTTGCCGTCTTCTTATTAATTTATTCTTTTTTTCTTGGATATTCTTGATCTTCTCGTTTTAATAGTTAGAACGCCGCAATTCTTCAAGTGAGGTTGAAATTCTCGTGGTAACCACACGACACGGAGCATCGAAGTAAATATACGTGCGCGAAGCGATCTCTATCGAAGCAATTGGTTCTGGTGGCACTCTAGTCAGATTTTAACAAGCCGCCCACCTTGTCTCTCTTTAATATGACCAGATCGGGCTTCACGCCACGAGTGGTCTCCGAAAGCTCCGGTAGCTTGCTGGCGGCGTAGTCTCAGTCGAAATGTTCCCCCTCTAGGCGTAGTGCGTATTGCTTCCCTTCTCAGACTCCCTTTTCTACTACTATGGTACGGCGTGAAGACCGAAGCAGGCTATCTACATGCGGATTCAGCCACACGAGGATTCTACCTCCGCAACCGACTTGTAGTTGTTGCTGATGTGAGGCGAATAACGAAGGATTTCCGGCAGCTAGCACACAGCCATAATACGTATGCCGTATGCTTGTATTCCGAGGATGTGAATGAGGGTGGGTAGATACGTGTAGAGCACGCGTTTATAACGCCGGAGGGATGCGGGATAGGAAAAGGGGGGGGGGGGGGAGAGTAGAGATATCAACTACATGGAGTAGGAGTTAGAACTGGAAAGGGAACGGGCAGGCGGACAGACAGACGTACATACATACCTACATATAGAGGGAGGGAGAGCGAGAGACCAGGGGTTGAGGTGACAGGTAATAACCAACACGGCCTCCAATCCCTATATTAATAGATTTATTATGCGTGCCTGCCTGCATACGTATTGTCTCCCTACGTATTGTAATCTCCTGAACGCAATGGCCGATCTCCCCGAGGCCCGTAGCCCAGTATAGGAAGCACAGAGAACCATTGCAGAATACCCATGTGACACATTGTGGTTCACGTTGGTTCACCAACTAGGAAGTATCAAGTAGCAGCGGGATAATACCACCGAGCAGGGAGCAGTTAATACACTTGTCTGCCGAAATCAATCAACGACATAGTGACGTGCTGGCGAGGGATCGCTTGAGAAATGACACATCGGTCTAGAGAGGGGTGTTTTTTTTTTTCCCACGGCTGCCCGACAACGTGGCTGCTTATCTGTGTGTTGTTGGACGAAGCTATCGGGATCCATGAATCCTACGTGCCGCCCCTAGACGTCCGGAGTCGGCTCACGGATTGGTAGTCACTTGGCAGAGAGACGAAGGATGCCCCAGGCAAGCAGGCCGCCTGGGCGTCCTACCTTACTTTAGTGCGGCTCGTGTATAGAAGCGCACGCAGTACACCGGATAGAGACGAAACCCGGAAACGATGCCCCCCTCCTTTCACTGGGCTTGCTGTGCATGTGTGTGCCCGCGCCTGCGTATGTGCGTATGCAATCCCGGCCTGCCCGACGGCCTCATCGGTTAAGCTCTCGCGCACGCACGGGGCCGTACGCGAGCGATCAGCATTGGCCCTCTCATTGATAGTGGCGACGCAAGTGGTGAGAAGCAGGTCAGCGGAAATACTAGAATCCGAGGGGGGCACAAAGAGCCTATCGATACCTACATTATCGCGTATATCCCTGACTCCCGCTGCCTGCCTTACCTGCCAGCCTGCCTACACATGCAGGGATCGCATCGCTGTCACGACCGCAATGGGCTACTTACGCATACGTATAGCCTCTATCCTGTCCTCCTTCCTACTTAGGCCCGCCTATAACTGACGTGAGGCAGACTACAGTCGCAGCGCTAGCTCTGCGCTCCCTCTGGCTCCCAGGCGGAGGAGATTCCTCCACCCCGCGGAGCAGATTCGCGGCGACGACCCCCTCGCCGCACGAAACAACACGTGAGAAACCCGGGTTAGCAGATGCTGCGGCTCTCCCAATCTTTCCCCGTACGAGGGAGGCGTCGAAGACGCCCAACGTGTGCTCAACCAAAAGGTAGGCATATCCCGGGGAAACCCAGAGAATAATCGACGCCGGGTACTAGGAGAACCATACAAAAGGACCGCAGTTCCCCCTTCCTGCCTCCCTACCGAGTTACTTCGTCGCGAAGGCGCACCGGAAGCCGTAATAAGCATTACCCAAGCGTTCGGGGAGGGACCGCAGACAGACGCTAGTAGCTAAGGAGGTAGGCGGGCCATGAATAGCTGCCCGTCCGAGAGGACTCGGGATGTTGATAGCCGGACGGACGAGTGCCATCAGATCCTCACTCATACGTTTCTGTTCCACCATTTATGAGCCTCTCCCGCTTCTTCTCGTCTTACGTTGTCTTTCTGAAGAGCGGAACAGAAGCTTCCTTCACTGCCGTCGCGACTATCACCATCATCCTCATCTTCCCCCATTTCGTTCTCACACAACTCCACATCAACGTTGTCTCAAGAGACGACTACGCTTTGCTCTAGGCACTATGGCGACAGCTTTCGGATGGTGAGAGCCAGCAGAAAACAAAAAAAAGGGGGAGGGCAGGGGGGGCCGCTTTGAAAGACCAATCCAATCTACATGAGTCTATGTGCATGCCGATTGCCGGCGACGCCACCGTCCTCCTTTTCATAGCGAAATCTTTCGTCCCACTCCCTTTAGACCCTTCGCCCATACGCATATCCGAGCTCGCTCCCACACACATTCATACGTATCTACACATCCCTACACCCTCATATTCACACTCACACATGCGGATACGGGCATTTCTAATCAACTACTACTCAATTTGCCCTTACTTGAAGCTAGGTAGGGGAGGAGAGGGTAGGGCAGGGTAGGCGGGCAAGTAATTAGGTGGAGGGCTCGACCATTATTTCACCTACCCATCTGTCTCACTGTGAGGCTACCGTAGTACGCCGTCAAATATCCTGCTGGTACTTCTTTATTCCAACGACGTGTATGTAGGGTAAGTAGACGCCGCCAGTCTTAACTGTCGCTGTCTTATCTGTTCTGTGTCCTTCCCATCCGAGCCCGATCCGAGACTAATGCACGAGAGAAAAGAAGAGAGAGGGAAAAAAAGGGAAAAAGGGGGGGGGGAGGGTAAGGAGGGGAACAGGGGTGAGGACCGAAAAAAAGATGTAGCAGCAGTCCCGGGGATGGTATCATTCGTTTTGGCGTTGCCTAACCCGTCGTAAGAAAGTCGTCAACCAAAATAAAAAGCCTGCTAGCGCGCATCTCATCGTCCACGGTATCGGCTGAATGGAGGGATAGGGCTCCTAGACGATGACGACGACGAGGCGGACGTTCAGCTGGCTAGCGCTTCCCCATCGCGCCCTGGACAGCCAGCTCGTCGGCCGCCACGTTGCCCCTCTCCTCGGCGTGGCTCTTGACCCACTGGAAGTATGTCGCGGTGCCGAACTCGTTGCGCTCGTCGATCTTGGCGCGGATCGCCTCGACGAGGTCCTTATTCTTCACGAGCCCGTCCTTCGTCCGCCACCCGTTCTTCTGCCAGTTGACGTACCACTCTGTCACACAGCTCAGCGAGTACTTGCTGTCCGAGTAGATGCGCACCTTCTGGTCGACAGCCACGCTCTCGAGCGCGCGGAGGATCGCCGTCAGCTCGGCCCGCTGGTTTGTCTGCACATCGCCCTCAAGGCGCTCCGATATGTTTCTGAGAAAAAGGTGTCGCGCGTCAGGAGGGCCCGCATTGGCCATTTTTTGCCTTCGAGAGAGATCTGGCTTCTTTTTGCCCCACTCACCTTTCGTCGTCTTTCCCGAAATATACGCCGACTCCGGCGGCCGCGCCTGGTTTGCCGTTGGAGAGACTGCTGCCGTCTGTGTAGATATGTTGAACGTCCGGCTCGTCCTCGGCGACGAGACTAGCACCGTTGCTCTTGGTCGTCTTCCTCTTCTTCGAAGGAACTTCGCCGCCGTATTGCAATAACGCCTCCTGAGCAGCTTCGTTTCCGTGTATCCGGATATACTCTATCGCCTCCTCGCGCGTGTCAAATCTTTTATATTTGGGCCCCTTCCACCCCTTGATGGCCAGAGATGCCTTGTCCCAATCGGTGTAGACTCCCGGCTCTCTACCGATGGCTACGGCATAGTACCGCTCCTCGCCCGGTGCGGTGACCGATGTCTTCTTACCGGCTACGTACGCTTCGGCATCTTTTCGACTTAGGAAGGACTTGTCTGCGAATGGAATGTCAGCCGCGGTCGACGCGCAAAGGGAACTCTGAACCGCGTACAGGAAGCACCTCTGTATCCCGCCGTCTGCTTCTGGCACTCGGGCCAGGTCAGGTAGACGCCAGGCTTGAACCCAGCCCGGACAGCATAGTATTTCTGAGCGTCGGGGTCCATCTTGCGTTTCCTGCTGGTTCTAGATGGGGCCGGATTGGCGACTTGGGCCGGTTTCGACACCTTGGTCGTCTTCGTACCGTTCGCCGACATGTTGAATAGTGGGAATATGTGATGTATTTAAAATTCGAAAGGAATTCTCTCGTCCATAGCAATCTACCAGATAACGTCCTCGGAGGCCGACGCGATGTGACACCTGTTCAGGACAAGCCTCTTTGTTACCGGCGTTGGGGAAGGGGCGGGCACGTCTGGGAGGAGGGAAGACGAAGCGCGCGCGAAAAGCGGTGTCGGAGAGGTCAAAGGAGTGTCATTTTCATCGAAGACAGACAGCTTGGGGCCCGGGGAGAGATGAAAGAGATGAGATGTGATGCCCGTCCTCGTTGGCGCCGGTGGATATTTATTTCGGTTCTCTCGCGGGCGAGATGGCAGTGAAATTCCAGAAGGTATAGATGGGTGTTGAGAAGAGGGGAATCGCAGGTGTCAAGTCATCACCAGCGGCGTAAGAGGCATAGCTAAGTATGTACATAGCACACGCCTCTTTACTTGCATACGGTTACCTATGATAAGGGGGTTACATAAAGAAATTACCTGCTACGTGCATACATGTATTTAGGTACCTGAGGTAAGAGAGTGGAACCGTTCTATATAAGTAGGTACGTAACCTGACAGGAGACGCCGCGTAGGATCCAATTAGAGAGCGGATATCTAAGTGTTAGTAGGTATAATAGGAATTATGCTCGTACCTATGCATTTACGTGGTCCCCTGCCTCGCTCCTATCATGCTTCCTAATATATATATATATATATATATATTCCAGATACGCTGCTGGATACATCCCGCCTTCACAAGCACGTCGGCAGCCAAGACAACGGCCTTTCCCGTAGGGAATAAATGTATGGGCTAGTACCTAACGTCTTACCTAGGTAGTTGGCGGACATTTCAAGATACGGCAGTGTCTCGTCACACAGATTGGATACCCAATCTAGGTAGTCATCAAAGGGCATGAGCCTGGTGGACATCCCTATATCTGTAATCAGCTATCACCTTGCCCGTATACAACATGCTTACACATTCGCCCACGGATGCATGGGGTAGCGAGGCATAGTATACGGATCTGACGATAAGATGATAGGTGAAGCCTCGCGTCCGCCTTTGACGGATGGATGGCTTGCGCTTCGCGCCAATGTATGTAGTTACGCATGCATGTATGTACGTGCATACGTACATGCATGTATGCGGTAGAGGTAGGTGGCCTATAGAGAATGAATCAACATGTATTCTTCCCCCGGGCGCATGTAACCGCGACAAACCAAGCCATCCACCCACCCACCCTTACAGGGCGCGACACATGATACTTCTGAAACCAACTGTGAAAGAAGTGTGCCCGACGCCAGACAAGAGGACTGCTTCAGTCGGGGCACACCATGATGCACCACTCCCGTACTCATGCGTAGCCTGTCGCCTCGTGCTAGACATGCCAACGGACACCTCAACTTCTCGGGCCTGGACCATCGTCAAGATGTCCCACGTAAAACCACCATCGGTTTGCCCTTCCAATGTATACAATGCAATCCGATGAGGGCGGTGGCGATACTTCGTCACGTCCTCAGTACAATGCTGCGTGCCCTCTAGCAATGGCAGGCCGACAGAGAGGACTACCTAATTTCTCCATGTCCGCCTCAAAACTAGGTCTGTTTTGATGTTATGCTCTCAGGCATGTAGATGGGGATCGACGGGGAGGCTCTCGACCTTGTCCGTCTCCCACTCCCAACCCAGCATGCTCCAGTTCAGCTCTTTGCGCCAGTGAAGACCTAGGCCCTGACCACCGCCGCAAGAGCCACGCTTGCAAGAGCCGGGTGCTCCGCACGCGTCGTGCCCTCGGTCTTCCGAGCCCATGCCACCCGTCAACGGCATGCGGTGACGGAACACGATCCTGCCCATTCGGGAATGCAGGATTGCCATGGCGCACATGGTGCACGGCTCGTGGGTCATGTAGAGTTCTAGTTCGTGACATAAGTAGCCATCGGGGCAAGGGTGCTCGACATCAAAGACGGCTTGCTCGTCGGCCAGCAGGGGCTTGTCTTGAAAGGCTTCGAACTCCAGAATGTGCTGTTCGGATTCGGGCCGATTTTCGGCCCTCACCAATTTCTGTGCCACCATGCTGATAGCCCTAAGCGCAGCATGAGCCATTGGGTTCCCAGTGTGTCCCGTCTTCTCTTGCTGGTGCCAGCGAGCATCCGCCGCGATAGCAACAATCTGGGCTGTCTCGTTGGTCTCGGCACCCAGTGCGGAAGACGTATCCTGGGCGTCCGGATCTAGCTTCGAGGCACGCCGCCGCTTCCCGTCGCCATTGCAAGTGGGAAAAGTGACGGGGCCAACTTCCACAACTCGGGCGCTTTCATCAGACGAGTCGGACTGCTGATTGCCGTCAGATTCCATCAGGCCCTCCTTCGTCAAAGTACATTTTCCAGAATCGACCCTCGCAGGAACTATGCGCTTGATAATAACAGCGCCGATAGGCTCACCAAAGCCGGCCTTCTGGGACTTTTTGGCGATCTGGTGCGCTAAAGTCATCCACACAGAGGCATCTCGAGTAACGGAGATTTCAGATCGCGTGATGGTACTCGGGTGGGGGCCGAGCGGGTTGTTCCTGCGATACACCGTCTGCCAGAACTGCTGGGACCACATATTGGCTTGCACTTGAGAGGTCGGAGCTAGCAAAGGAATCGGTATTGTTCCCACAAAGATGTCATCACTAATTTCGTCAATAGTAGCGAGGCCTTTCACAAGCTCTTCGTACGGCATAACATCTCGGGGGCCCAGCAGAACGTAGAGCCATGTGGATTTCGTGGCATGTATCAGCTTCCCATTTCCTTCGTTCATGAATTGCGTCTTGAGGTGTGGTGGGAGGTCAGAGGGCTTGGAGCACCGACGTAGGTGCGGTAGGTTCTTAGCCGCATCATCACCGATCAGGGCCCGCGCCATACTATAGTGGACAGGATTAGCCGACGACAGAGGAGTTGACGATGTGTAGGAGGGCGGGTTGTCGCCTACTTTATCACATCATTAGCGAATTTGCTAGGTACACGCGTTACATAGGTATAACCGATAGACAGGTTGTCTCTGAGCTCGAGAACGGTCTTGAGAGGTACTAAGGTTCCTATATCGATATTCGGAGGAACGAGTCTTTGCGAGACGGGGTCGAGTGTCTCGACAACTTCCTTCATGGAATCGCTCATAGCGGAAACCTGCAAACCAGTAAGGAAACGAAGCGTCTGGCGTGCCGGAGTGTTGAGGCGGGACTCCGCTGATGGAAGCCTCAAAACGAGACGGCTGCTGCGAATGCGACGCAGGGGCTGCTATCGCGGTGCTGTGCGCGAAGAGGTAGAGCGTAGTTTGGGTGATTTGAGAAGGCCGTACGAGCCGGAGAGGCTCTGATTCAGATGAAACGGGAGATGGAGGAAATCCAAGCTGGAGGTAGTATCAAGACTCCAAGCATCGTGTCGAATGTTGCGGATGCCAGAAGGATAGGATATGCTCCTGGTGGTTGGCAAGACTCGTTTTTGGTTCTCAAGGTAGACGGAGGTGAGGAAGGTGGAATTTGCCTGGGGTTTATTTTCTTTCCCCCTCTCTCGCGTCGCGAAAGTGTCTCCCGGCGACAGGTCGTGACGTTTTCTCACGCGGACGTCGGAGAGTTCGGTGCGCGGTTTGTGAGGGCGTGAGGGCTTGAGGGGAAGAGCGCAAGCGTGCTGTTGTTTATGGTACGTGTGTGTGTACGTGTATGTATGTGTGTGTGTGTGTGTGTGTGGCAGGAAAATGGCTTTAGGGATCGAAGGGCACGAACTTGTTGCGACTGCCGGAGAGCAGGGTTGAAATTTATTGGATGCTACGTTAAGGTACCTACATACCTACCTACCCCTTATTACGCTAGGTGGTAGGCGTGAAGGGTCCAATCCTGCCGAGCATAGTCTCCCCGCAAGAGAGCATTTGGCGGGGTTTATCGATAAGCAAGCAGAGGTCCGATTTACGTAACTAAGTGAGGTGCGTGATGCTACACGTATAGGCACCTAACGTTTTGTCAACTCTCAGTGCGTCCGTTCCAGGCGCGGGGGGCCGAACCCAATCCTATGCCTACAGGCACCCAACCCAAGGCACCCGCCCTAGGCTAGGTACGTGGAGTTATAGGTACATACCGGGCAGCTACCTCTCCTCTTAGAGGTATGTACCTCCTTTAGGTAGGCTACCTTTAGGTAAGCTTATGTATGACTACCTTCTGTACCTATGTGTAGGTACATACCTCTATATCTACCTAGGTAGGTAGGTAGGCAGGTAGGAGGTAGGCACCTAAGCCACTACGAGTAGGTAGGAAGCAAGTTTCAACTGCCATGAGCAGGTACATAATAACCTTCCGTATGTGGGTACCTGTCTCAAGTACCGATCTATAGTAAGCTAAGCCGTGCCCTTTAGGTTAGATACGATGCATGAAGCTGAGTGGCACCGAAGGTTACGAGATACCTCCCAAAATCTAAGGTATGCGTGATGCAGCCAGTATTTCTCGATCAGCGTCCGCCTGCCTACATTAGTACCGATATCGTAGCCTCCAACCGCTCCCGATTACCAGCATCGACACCTCGCGGGGTTGTGCTGCCTTACAACCGATGTGCAGCCCCAGCTCTTTCGGGAATCTTGTCCGACTAGCTCCCCAGTTGACTTCCCATGGCCGAGCCAAGGATAATCCCGGTGGGGTTTCCTGCTTTTGAATAGATCCTCCCACCCATCCTATGCGAGGCTGCGTACCGATGGTTGGATCGATGTTTTTCCCTCATAACCACCTTATCTTCCCCCCCCCCCCCTTTTTTTTTTCCCTTTTCCCTTCTCTTCGCAGATGCTTTCCGGCGAATACTGCGCTCCTGATTCTCCACGTGCGCTATGACTGGAGAGGCGATGCTCCCAGACCTCTTCGCGAAAGGGGCCCTCGTGCGTCTTAAATACCTACTTTAGCTAGGAATCGTACGGGCGGTTTGCCAAGAATTGGCATAGGTCATCGACCTTCTAGACCGTATCGCTTCCCCAGGTTGACGTTGCACTGGAGTTCAACCACCCGCTCAACGGCCTCTCGCGGTTACAGACGCGACGGATGCAAGGCGTGACCACCGCGGCGATGTGATTCCACTGTGCATCACTAGGGCGGCCTGACGTAGTCGCTCTTGATTAGAGCCATTTCTCTCACATCAGCTCGTCCGAGGTGGTTAATAATGCTGCATGTACCTGCGGTTGCAGTATACGGTTGCAGTATTGGTAGGAAGACGTCCCGTCAGATTACGAACCCGTGGCCGCTGGATCTTTCAGGCGCACTGATCTCAGATCGAAAGGGCATACGGACAGGCTTCTTGGAGAACGACCGGGGTGCGCTTCTTCTCTCCTCGGACCAGACCAGCAAACGCCGGAGCGAGCTGAGGTACCTAGGTAGTTCAGCGAGTTGGTTACATGCCTATGATGCAGGCGTATGCGGCACCTCCCCAAAAAAGGAGAGGAAGAAAAAGGAAGCTATCGCCAAGACGGATCTCCGGTAAATCTCTCAGACAATGTAGGTCGTAGCGAATTGGGCAAGCCATAGCAATACACTTTTACGCCCCGTCTCGGCGCCGAGCACAATACAAATATGGAATTAAGTTGGGAATCGAGGGTGCGTGACGAAGGAAAGACCGCCAAGCTCGGAGTTACGTCAAGGGTGGAAAAAGGGAGTGAGGACAGCGAAATCGGGAGCCCGATGAGGAAAACAGTAGGTAGGTACCTGTGCTAACCAGCCTGTCCTCTTGTTACGTGCCTCCCACCTTTGCACCCTCCCTCTGACTCGAGAGATGTAGGTTTATCTGCGCGATAAATCACGTCGAGACGACAGGCTCCTCTAGGGGATGTAAGCCGGCGAATCATTTGCGGCGGCATTTACATAGCACACACTTCGAGACGTCCTCCCACCAAGATGTTCAGCAAGATTCTGTGGTCGACCAAATCGGTGGATATAATCACTTCCCATGGTAGTGAGTGTATGCTCACCGACCGCCGGGGCCTACCTCGATAGTCGGGTGCATGACTGCGGGTGCGAGATTTTTGTTGGAGACGGGACTGCGAGGCAGGAGACAAATTTGGTATACAATCCCCCGTTTTCCCACTTTGGGTTTTCGATATGACCTCCTCCGCCGAGTAGACTCGTCATATCCTCAATCGAGAATACTTCTGAGAACAAAAACAATACTTCATCTGCCTAGGTAAAGAGACCGTAGGTTCGGCCTAACCTAAGTCGAGCCTAAGGGGCAGGTTAGCTCCGAGAACAAAGCAATCCCCTCCGGCTAATCCAGCATATCCACCTTCTAGATTCAACTATTGCCCGCCTTAGCCATTTCGATTCCACGCAGTGGAACGGACAGCAACGCGCAAACACCAGGTATATAAGTTGATTTAGTCGCAACCCGAGACATTGAGGGTTAGGCTTTAAGTCTACCCGGGCCGTCGATATAGAGAAACAGAAACCCCGAGCGACGGAGATCGGAGAGAGAGGAAGGGGGGGAGTTTTGTCGATTGAGCCAAGGCGACTCAGCCTCAAGAGTAGGTATGTACACATGCTTATCTCTCGTCTCGAGGCGTCAATGATTTATTGCGTCTCGGGCATCACCAACTAGCACAGGAAGAGAGTCGCCAAGGTTGCGACTGGGCCAACTGTTGAGGGTCGCCTCATGGTGAAAAACAGAACCTTACCACTTTTTTTTTTCTTTCAACAACTTATACGTTCGGCCATTTCTAACTCGGGTATATCTCGAACGGGGCCCGCAGGCGCTACATCATCGAGTCCACCCACCAAGGTCCTGGGAGACCCACTTAGAACCCACGTCGACCGACGCCGTCCGACCCACAAACAGAGGGGAATAGACGCTGCCACTTACATAGGTATTCTCAGTGCGCGCTCTCTGCCCTGTAGCTCGCTGCGGCAGGCAGAGGAATATCAGAAACAAGAACCCGCAATCGGCCACCATTCACCTCGGACTATTCCCTCTTGTAATTCATTCTCCTGATATTATCCCGCGCTCTGCTCACCTCTCCGGCTTCTCCGGTCCTCTCTTCCTTCGTTTCCTCTCCTCGTTCCGTTTTCTTATTTCGCATCTACTCAAGGGTCTTCGCCGTTGGGATTTAGCTGCGCGACTGTAGGCAGTCAGCCTCCCCCATCTTTCTCTTCACCCTTCCGCGGCATCACCGGCCTCTCTTTGCGAAACTGCGACGCAGCAGAATTACGACCGCGGTCGGTCGATTTCAGGTCATCTACGAGTGGTGTGAGGCTGCTGCGATCGGGTCTGATTGACACGAGCTGCGGAGGAGGGTTGTGTGACTGGGATCAGTTGGAGATCCGTGTAGACGGACACGACTTATCAGAAGCCAAAAAAAAAAAGAGCGAAGGATAACGCCAGAAAAGAATACGCAGCCACGACGAAGTTCAGTGGAAGCAAGCTTTTAGAAAGTGCAGCCGCCTACTGCACGATTACAAGTCGACCCGGCCACCCGCCTGACCTACCAGGCATCTCCGATTCGCCGGTCTCGCTCCGGCCAGCCCTGCTGCAAGGTTGCATCCCACGCAGTTTCTGCCACCTGAGGCTTTTTACCAGCCATTACGTACTTTGGTTACCTGACAGACGGGTACAGTACGCACAGCGTACAGTACGTCCCACTGTACCTATTTGCGGGCACTTCCCAAGGGGGGGTCGAGGAAAACCTTAAAACCCAGCCAAGGATTGGACCCTGAAAACCCCCCTTCAGCGACAGCAAAAGCTCCAAAGCAGCCCCCAAAAGAAGAAATCGAATCACAGGCCAGGTGCACGGGCGCCGCAGTCCACCACAGTACGTACACATAGGTACGTAGGCGATTGGCGAGCAGCAGAGAGGGCAACTCGCTGGTCCGTGGCACGCGCGCTTGGTCAGGCTACGTACGAGGTACCTAGCGTAGCCGCCCTATGTACATCGCCTCCCCCTGCGCCGGAATACCTTAGGTGCCCTGTTGTTGTTCCTGACGACGTATCCAGTGCCTCCACTATGACTCCTCGTCTACACGTCAAGGGAGCTGGGCCTCATGAGATTGTCGCATCGACCGAGAACATCAGTTCAACAGTGAACCCACAAAATGCCGGCAGCAGTCCTATTAGCAGCAGCAGCAGTCCGTCACCATCGCCAGGTTAGTCCAGTCTGGCACGTTGCGTCGAAAATTACGTACCCATCTGAACTCACATGTGTACACACGTCTCTCCTTTTTCCCTTTTCCCTCAGTCGATATTGCACCGTCTCGTCTTATTACGCTTGCCTCATCTCCCTGCCTCTCCCCTTCCTCTCTCTCTCTTTTTCCTCGCAGCCCCCCCTTGAATAATTTGATTCCTACACCAGCACCTGCGACGCGCGCATCGCGTACATATTGAGTCGTCCCATTCACTCTGTTTGCGCTGTTCGTCCCGTTCTTCCTCTCCCTCTCCTTCTCCCTCCCTCTCTCCTCTGCCTCGCACACTCGCACTTACACGATCCCCACGCTACCCCTACAGCCCAATCAATCCCGACCGTTCCATCCCACCTCCATCACTAACTCCCAGCTGCGCTGCGCTGCACTGCGCTGCACACCAGGGCCCATCTGCCTCCCTCACCTGCCTGTCCACCCTGACACACCCAAGACACCTGCGCATCCCCCCCTCGCTAGACAGGCGCACTTGCGCAACCAGGTGCACCCTCCTCTCTTCCCTATGATATCCCTCTCGGCGCTCCCCGATTATCGGTGGCGTTTACTAAACCCTGCGCCTTTGCGATTTTTTCTAGACCGCAGACCTGTCCGCCGACAGTCCCAGTCGCAGCAATCATCGCTTGCCAAAGCGGCGATGAGCAATCAGCGTCTCGTCTCTCACTCCGCTAGTCCTGTCCATCCCGCAAATGCCGTTCCTCCCAGATCGGTGCCGACTCCGCCGGAGCAGACGACGGCCGCCACCACGTCCGAGTCTCGCATCGCCACTCTGAGCACCCGCTTGCCAAGTGTTCCTAAGGAGGGCACGCCGGCAATGCCGCCCTCGCCGACTTCGCTGCATGACGACAACCACGCCAACAATATAGGGAATCATACGGCGCCGACATCGTACCAGAGCACCCCGAATCAAACCAGCCTCGTGCCCCCCTCCCTCATCAACCTTCCCCATGTTAGTCTCGGTCCAGCTGCGCATTCTTCGTTTTTAGCCAACGCGCTGAGAGCCCTCGATGATGGGCCCGCCGGAGCGGCTGCATTTCGCGAATTCCCTGTGCCTCCGTCTAACGATTCTCCCTATGCCAAGAGCATCTCCTCTACGGCGCCGGCGTCGCCTCGCATGTGAGTTTCCCATTCCAAATCCGGCGTCGTCCGCCGCATGCATGTGTGGCTTCTGTTCTTTTATTAATTTAACCCCCCCCCCCCCCCCCCGTATTTCTATTCGTTGCTGACCGTGGGCTGCCGTAGTCCCCCAATCAGACAGAACTCGGGTTCCCAGACTCCTCGGGTGCGCCCGCACGCCACCACCCTCAGCATCCCTGGTATGACAAGATCGCTTGTTTCTCCCGATGGCAGAATTGCCGATAGGGACGTCGCGGCGAAGCTCGTGATTCTTATGGTTGGCCTGCCGGCCCGTGGCAAATCCTACATCACCAAGAAGCTTCGGAGATATCTCGCGTGGCAACAGCATAACACTCGGATATTCAACGTTGGTAACCGAAGACGCGTGGCCGTCGTGAACCCGCCCAAACATGAGCGCAGCCAGAGCTCGGTAGATGTCCCGGTGCCAGGGGCTACTATTCTCGTCAATGGCGCTCAAATTCCGGATTCTCCGTGCCAGAAGTCGCCTCCCGACCAACCCGACTCTACCCCGATTCCCATGGACCAATCCGCCAAGTTCTTCGATCCGAACAACGAGCAGGCGGCGAAGCTCCGAGACGAGATCGCCATCGACACTCTTAACGAATTGCTGGACTATCTGATCAGCGGCGGCGGCTCGGTTGGCATACTGGACGCCACCAATAGCACGATCCAGCGCCGGCAGAAACTCTTCGACCACATCAAAGCCAGAGAGCCCAAGCTGGGTATCCTATTCATCGAGAGTGTTTGTAAAAACCCAAATGTGAGTCAGGACCTGCAAATCCGGGTTATCTGTGGACCCCGCTCTGACTAGATCAGCTCCTGGAAGCGAACATGCGCTTAAAACTGTCCGGCCCCGACTACAAGGATAAGGACCCTGTCAAGTCGCTGGCAGACTTCAAGGAGCGCGTCAAAGCCTACGAGAGCGCGTATGTCCCTCTGGGCGATTACGAGGAAGAGCACGAGATGCAGTACATCAAGGTGAGCGAAAAGAGTTGGAGTTTTCATTTCGCCGAGTTGCCGGCGTACAGTCTCGGCTGACAACGCTCGTAGATGACAGACGTGGGCAAGAAGCTCACTCACTTCGGTCTAGGGGGCTTTCTGAGTAGCGGCATCGCTCACTACCTATCATCTTTCAACCTGTCGCCGAGACAGATCTGGATCACCCGCCACGGCCAATCTCTCGACAACGAGGTGGGAAAGATCGGAGGCAACTCGGCGTTGACCGATCGTGGAGACGCCTACAGCCTCTGCTTGTATAAGTTCATCACACAGAAACGCAAGGAGTGGCTCGTCGAGCAGCAGAACAAGATAGCGCAGTCGTCATTTCCCCCCTTACCCGGAGACCGGTCGCCGCCTTATCCCGACCTGAGTCGCGAGCTCGACGAGAAGAACTTCTGCGTTTGGACGTCGATGCTGACGCGCAGCATACAGACGGCTCAACATTTCGAAGCAGATGAGGACTACGATGTGAAGAATTGGGAAATGCTCAACGAGCTCAACTCCGGCACGTTCGAGGGCCTGACGTACGAGCAGATCGCCCGAGACCACGAGGACGAATACACCAAGCGCCAGATGGACAAGCTCCAATACGTCTACCCGGGGGTTGGCGGCGAAGGCTACCTTCAAGTTATCAGCCGTCTTCGCGACATGGTGCGCGAAATTGAGCGGATCAAGGACCACGTCATGATTATCGGTCACCGCTCGGTTTGCCGAGTGTTGATGGCGTACTTCATGGACCTCACGAGGGATGACATCGCCGACCTGGATATGCCGCTGGGCATGCTCTACGCGATCGAGCCTAAACCCTACGGTATCGAGTTCCATGCGTACAAGTACAACGAGGGGAAGGCGTGGTTTGATGAACTTCCCAATTACAAGCCGACGAGGACTGTCGATCGCAGTGCCTAAGGCGCGACGAATTACGTGACGAGGGCCACTCTTTTTCTTCTCCACCCCCCGTTTGCATTAATTGACACTGTACACTATTGATTCGTCATTACGGCGCGAGTAAGGAATTGGAGGGGGAGGGGAGTAAAGATACCATTACAGACACGGCAGGCGGCATTCGTGGTTTATCGTTTCCTGGGTTCCGCTGCTCTTTGTTTTGTTTTTTTCTCCTTGTTTTTTTTTTCAGCCCCCCCTCTCCCTCCTGCGAAGGAGGGAGGAGGGAAGGCTGATCGGTCTGCATGCTTTCGGAGTTCGGATAGTCGTGGGGGAATCGGGGACTTCCGACGACCATGGATGTGCTTTCTTCTCCGAGCAAGAGAGAGCTACGGCTGGTCCGGTCCGGTCCGGTTGCGGCAAGAATGGCGTACGGGGAGGCTCCCCAGAGAGAGATTTCCACGCGGCTTGGTTTTGTTTTGTCACTTTCGCATCTTCCGGTATTTGTCCGTCGCCTCCTCCCGTCGTGCGATAGGGTACGAGAGAGAAATGACGGCGAGATACCTGATACGCGGGGGCTGTAGGTTAGCAAGTCAGCAATGGCTCTTGGCAGAGGTTTGGCATAACGTCGGATGCGAGCCCGCCCTACGGCGGGAACGGTCCTAGATGCCTCAATGTTAGTTAGGTATCCACGCATACCGCACACTATACTACATTACTCTGCAAACGGCCGGGGGCAGCTTCTCCTAGAGTCGTGATGTATACGCCTGCCCCGCGGCTGTTTTTTTTCTTTTCCTGGAAACCATTTCGCGTCATTACGCCCGAAGTTTGTCGTCAAGAGATAGAACCACATTCGGCGGGAGCCGAAGATGTCGAGGTGTGTTATGTATTTAGGCCTGCCAGTCTGATTCTAGACAAATCTCATCTATTCGTTGAATATATATGTGTGTGTGTGTGTGTGTGTGTGTGTGTGTGTGTGTGTGTGTGTGTTTCGTTGCCTCTAGAGTCGCTGAACTGATTCCCTGGCTTGCGCCTTTTCTTTCCGCACCGGCGGTCTACTAGCTTAAGCACACCGAGTCTACTACGATAGGTAACATACCAACGCTCACTCACTCAGTCACCAAAGCAAGCCAAGCCAGGGGCAGTCGAGGGAACTAATATATATGAGGCGTACTACACACTGTAGCCCGCCCCATTCCCTCAAACTATGTATGTACATGGACCTTCTTTTTTCTCTCACATTTCTTTTTCTCGCCGTGCGGTCTCTGTGTGTCCCGTCCCGTCTGTTCTGGATGAAAAATTTTTTTTTTTGGATTTGGGCCCGGCTTAGTTGACGGATCGATTGGATCGGTCGTACTTCGGCTGGCTTTTTTTCAATTTTATAGTCGTTCCGTGTCGTTAGCTCGTCATTAATTCCCTGCCGTAGACCGAAGAGCGTAGGAAAAGGAAAAGAAAATTTAGGAAAATGGAAAACCACCGCCGCCACCGCCGCCGCAGGCCGACCCCATTCCCTCTCGGATCTGCCCGAGACAGGTTGAGCCGAACCTAACTTCCCTACGTCATTACAAGTTCGATCCGTCTCTCGGTCGGGAGGAGGGGAGGGAGGGGGGATCTGGTCCCGCAGTCTGTTCACCCGTCCTCGAGCGGATCCCGTATTCAACTGTTCACAGCACGCGTGCCGGTAGAAGAGCGAAGCCGAAAGAGTCGAAAAAGGGCGAAATAGAGAACGGATGATGCTCCTCCCCTCCCCTCCCCTCCCCCGCCTTGAGGATCAGATGTAAGGGAGGTCGATAGACAGGGTCGGGACGGTTTGCTTGCTGGTGCGCCCGGGTGGGCGGGCCATGAGAGGCCGCATTATTGTCGAGTCTGCGTTGGCGGGGGCGTTTTCCGCCTCTCCCTCTCGCCCCCCTTGCCATCGAAATCAAACTGCGGGAAGGGGGCTCGAGGGTGGGAGGAGAGCTATCGCCGTCGTTGGGGGTATATACGCGCCTGGGGGTAAAACGCAGTCTTGCCTCCCCCCGAAGGAAAGCAAAAGCAAAACAACAACCAAATTTGTTTCTTCTATAATTCTCCCCTGAGAGAGAGCCACCGGGCCTAGGTAGGGCAAATAACCCCCCCCCCCCCGGCCTGCTAGGTGACTTAAAAGGAAAAGGTCATGACATCATGGGCAAAAGAAATAGAAGTAGAAGCCGAAGAGAAATCGAACAAGAGTCGAAGAATCCCGTCCCGGAGGGAGGGCCGAACTCAGAAAACCGCCGTTTCGGATACGGCTTTCTTTCTTCGCCTCGTTTCCTTTGTGTCTGCGTCCCTCACTCAGTGTTCCCTCCCCTCCGCTCCCCTTCTTTGTTTCTTTACCCTTGGGGTTCTTTTTTTTCCAGTATTTTTCTCGAATTTTCTAGGTTCCACTTCCCCCCCCCACCGCGACACGCAGGCATCAGACTGAAAAAAAGGAGTATAATGATAATATAGTAATAGCAGCGGTAATATCGGCCCGGAAAGGTAGTGGTGGTATCATGTCGTGTCGTGTCGTACTAGGTTCATTCCGTCGTGATCGTCACAAGACAACAAAGGGAAAGGTGAGAAAAAGAAATCAACAGCAACCACAAGCATATACACACGACGAGACGCGATGCCGCTGTCTGTATTCCAGTCCAGCCGGTCGGTCGGTCGGTCGGTCGATCTTCTGGCCTATCGATGGATGGACGTATCGATGGGCGTTTCCCCTCTTTCTTTCTTTTCTTCTTGCTTTCTCTCTCCCCACCTGGTCTCTTTCGGGATAAGGGGCGCCGGGTTCGTGGAATAGGATGGGTCGGACGTAGCGCAGAGGGCGGTGTAAGGAAGTTATCGGTAGATAGCGGAACCTGGTGTAGTTCGAAGTAGAGCGGCGTAACGAGAATATGGAGGGCGCCTCAAGGACGACAGGACGGTAGGCAGACCGGCTAGATCTGCCGACGCTGTGTCAGCCTTACAATGCCTCCCCGACACCCCGCCCCTCCATGATCCGTGCGTTCTCGTCGGTGACGGTGGCTACGCTGCGCCGGCCCGACTTGCTACTACTGCTCCCGGCGTAGCCGCAATGGTAGCGGTCCGGGATCCGCGGCACGGACGGGATCCCGCGATTCGCATCCGGCACGACGCTCAGCGGCTTCGCCGCGCCGCGGGCGTCCCGAGCCAGCTCGACGCTGCCTCTGCGCCGCAGCGTGCCCTCCTCGCTGCTCTCCCAGTCCATCCGGTCGGCGGCGTAGCCGTTTTCGATGTCGCTGTCGTCGTCGTCGTCGTCATCGTCGGCGCCTAGCACCTCCCAGTTGACCGACGATGTCGGTGTTGTCACCGACGGCGGCGCTACTACTACCGTTGTCGCGGCCATCATCGACGACGCCGTGCCGGGCCGGGACCGCGACCGCAGAGACGACGACTTGCTGCGCTTGCGAAGCCGGTTCGCGCGGGCCTTCTTGCTACTGCTGCTGCGGCTGCTGCTAGTCCTGCTCACTGCCACGTGCTGTTTCTGCTCCTGGTCGCAGTCGAGGTCGGAATCGTAGAAGTAGTACCCGCCGCGCCGCGCCTGCTGCTGGTCCCGGTACTGCCATCCGTCGGCCACCGCGAACGCGAGCGCGTCGTCGTACGACGGCCGCGGTTCGGGAGACGGCGAGCGCACCCTCACCCCGCGCTCCGCCACGTACACCGTACCGCCTATCGACTGCGACGGCGGCAGCCGCAAGATGCCGTCGGGCGCGCAAGCCGAGGAGCCGTTGCGGGTGGCGGGGATCCGGATCAACTGAGCAGTGACGGAGAGGTTGGCGTCAGTGTTGGGGATGTGGGGGCTCGGGTGGGAGGTGGGGGGCAGTGGCGGTGACGAAGGAGTCCTGCGGAGCTTCTTGGCGACCCTCTTGAGCGGCTGGGTAAAAGACGACGAGGACAGCGACGTCGTCGATGACGAAGGCGCCGCCGCGGCGACGAGCGGTACTACGGGCGCCATGAGCGAGACTGGTGACGTCGGCGGCGAGTAGTCCTCGGCGCTGACTCGGTTGCGCTTACGGCCGCGGAGTGCGTACCACGAGTCCTTACCCTGTAGCAGCTGTTGGAAGGCCGAGGGCGGCTCCGCCGTCTCGATCTCAGACGAGACGCGTATCGAGGGTAGCCGTGACCCGTTGCTATTGCGATTGCTGCTGAGGCTCGGCCTGCCGCTGCGGGCAAAGGTGGGGGCGGCCGGGCTCTGCGGCGGTGAGCTATACCACGGGCTGGCGACGACGCCCACCGAAGAGATGCGTGGCGGGGGCACCGGCGAGCGAGCGGCGGCCGGTACTACGGCACCCTCAGAATGGCGGCCACCTGGCGGAGCGTAGCGGGTCGATTGTATGGCATGGGACTGAAAGAAGCCCGAGGCCATCAATTGGTTGTACGACTGCATGATCTCGTCGCGTGACGGGCGGTTGGCGGCACCTCCAGCGGCAGCACCGCCGACGTTAGGTAGCTGAGGCATGACCTCGTACATCTCCGAATGGGACTTAGTATTGCGGAGGTTCTCGGGCCGTAGCATCTCTGTTGTCGCCATCGACGGTAGCGATTGCTGTTGCCGAGGCAATGGCTCCTGGAGGCTGCTGTGCTTCCTCGAGTCCTGCTGTCTGTGTGTCACTACCGCGGCTATTCCTCCGCCACGCGAGGACGACGAGTTCCATCCGGCCAGGGCGTCCCGGACTCTGCTGAAGAAGCTGGTGGACTTCTTATGGGCGACGGTGTGCTGCTCCAGTCCCGTCGTGTTGTTGGCGATGCTGTCTTCACCGCCACTCTGCAGCTGTGCGGGATCAGAGAACGGCCGGTCGCGGCGAGGCTTGCTGCGTGTCTCTCTCTGTGCGGCGGAGGCGGCGGCGGCGGCGGCGGCGGCGACAGCAGCAGCAGCAGCAGCATCAACAGTGGCATGCGGCTCGGTATAGAACATCCTCTCGTACTCCCCCAGCTGCTCGGGCCCGAGGAATTGTGGTGGCGGCACGGCGCTGACTCTGTCGTTCATGGAGCCCTCGACGAATCGAGAAGTCGGTGGACGCGAGCCGCCATTCTGGGTCGGTGGCCTCAGTGCATCAGAGGCCATCATGGTGGCGGCGGTTGGTATGCGGATGACTCTTGAAAGGGGGGGTGGGCGAGCATGAACTCGAGAGGAGTCAGCGGCGGAATGTGGGAGGAAGGATTAAAACGGCAGTGCACTGGCGAGCAGATTGTTTACTCGGTCGGACTGTTGTAGGCTGGTTGCCCCGGTTGGGCGCGGCACGTCGTGGGAGGGGCAACGGAGCCTGTGAGCTAGGATCAACTAGCCCGCCGAGGCATAGGCCGGCTTGGTACCTGCAGATACTGTGTACTTGGGCCGCTACTAACTGCACTGGGCAAGTCGTCGTTTTTGCGCTTCCGCATCAGGTCTAGCCGCTGCTCTTAAGCAATTAGGTACGTTTTTCGAACCTCCTACCTGTAATTAAGGGGGCCGTTCCCTTCCCCTTCCCCTGGTTCTGCTGCCAATATCCAATGTGAGTATGCTGAAGGCGACGCCGGATCCCGAAATGCCTACGTGCATAGAGTACCCCCCGTACACGGATACTCATACAGACCCAACACCGAGGCTGGGGTGCATACATAGGTATATAACAGGTAGTTATATATAACGACCTTACATCTGCACCGCCGTCTCTCATCACTACAACCCACAGCACGACACGCACAGACAATTCACTGTTTCGGGGAGGGGGAGGCTTTGATTCCATTGCTCGTGTATATGTACAAAGACACCGCCCTACTCACTCACTTAACCTCACCTAACCCTCGAAGCGAACACATAAGAACTCTCTAGACTGGATCCCGAACGGGATCAGCCAAGTAACGACAATAGGTATCAACCAACAACGCTGACCAACGCACCATGGTGAGCGCCTCGCCTAATCCGCGGTTCCCATCTTTCCCACGCGTCTCCGCCCGATGACGTTCTGCTTCTATCACACGCAGAACTTCGTGATCCCGGCAACTTTATATAGTATGTAGCGACCCCAAGTGGGAGTTCCCACCAGTCTGCGAGGGGGGCGGGGTTGTGCCAGTTGAAGGACACCTCGACAGAGGGAATCCCCCATGCTAAAGCTATTTACGCTGCGAAAATGAGTGGCAGCGGGAAGTAGTCGAACACAAATGAAACAGAAAATAGTAGGCACATCCATGGCCATGTTGCATAATGTATATATATATATACAAGCGGCGAAAGCCGCCATTGGCGCCGTCCAACGCCCAACTCCGCCGCAAATCTTGCGCGTTGTTATTCGTGAAATCCGTGAACCTGTCGTCAGGCAGCCGCCGCATAAATGGTCTACGCGAGAGTGTCCGGGAATACAGCCGTCCTTTCTGAACCGTCGGCCCTCCGGTACACAGGAAGTCCAGTGTGATAGCTGATCGACGGCCGTTCTCCATTAACATTACGGCCCTCCTGCGTAGTCGACGTGAGTTCGTCAATGGAGCGCTTCATGGGCCTGGACTCCGGTTGAGGGTATAGCGGCCGAGGCAGGGCCGCTATCGAGCCCGAACGGTCGCCCAAGTGGGATGGTGACATTTTCGGGCTCGCAATTATCGATGGCAGAGACGGTATAGGCCCGATAGATGAGGCTGTGGGAGGTCTCGGCGGCACCCGGGAGAGGGAATACGGCGCTGGGGGCTTGGCGGAAATCGTAGAGAAGCCGGCTGACGACCGCCTTCGAAGATCCGGGTCTCCGGTAGCAGGTTCGTACTGCGAATAGCCGGACGAGTAGCTAGGCGAGGGAGGCGGCGGCGGGAAGTTGACACCCTGGGGGAAGAGCGGCGCTGCGGGGGACACCGGCGTGGATTGGCTCGCGGGAGGCGCGGGCCCGTAAGGTTGGGCGAAACCAGAATTGCCCCCGTGTCCAAAATTTAACATGGCTGAAGGGGGTTGTCCGTTCTGGTAGAGCGGCGGCGGCGGCGGGCCATACTCGGCGTTCGAAGGGCGACGCGGGTGGTCAGGAGCGTATGCGGCTCGCTCCATGCTCGAATTGCTCATAGACCGGGCGCGGTAAGCTTCGGGGGTCTGCGTTCTATGACGTCGAGTATATTCGTCTTCGGCGTTGTTGTCATATTCGCTAGCAGCAGAGGCCTTGGTGTCGCGGCGCCTCATGCGGACGTCGCGTCGGATACGTACGCGGCAGCCCTGTTCGGCGACGGTACGACTCAGTGAGGTGCTCTCGGTCAGACCGGGAAACTTCTTGGCACTATAAACGATGAAGTCGGACGACCTCAGGTCCATACGGTGGTTGGCGTTCCCCGCACTCAGATCCGACATACCATCCTCGGGGTCTGGAGGCGGCGCGTCTCGGTCTTGGTCTTGTTCCTCCTTGATCAACTCGTACAGACTAAAAACCAGTCGGTAGCGTCCTTCGTGGCGGACCGAGAGATCCGGGAATAAGAAGTACCCAGCCGGGTCCGGACGGTCGAGATAGCAGCATCCGGACACGGGAAAGCCCGTGAGAACAGGCGGCGACGTGGCTGCCGGGGTCTGGACTCTGCCGTGGGCCATAGGGCGGGCATGTTCGAGAGAGGCGTAGCAGAAGAAATCCACATTATAATCGAAAGTGATATCCCGCGCAGTATCAAAGTGTTCGCCTTCGAAAACCCTGAGGATGACCACTGGCGGCGGGTCGACAGGGCGTCGATCGGCAGAGGCTATTGTATCTCGGTTAGAGACTAGGTTCTTTTCGAGGGCAAAGAGAAACAGCTGTTCGTACATTTGGGGCCCGAACCGCACGCTCTCGCACGCTCGGGCTGCTGCAAGACTTCCAGCTGGTACCAAAGGTGCCTACCGCCCTTGGTGATCCGATGCTCACGAGTGGCGCACAGTTTGCTGTCGGCGGGGGCTATGGTATTCGCCATGCTCGACTCGGGCTAGAGGGCCATCACATATTAGCATGAATTTGAACGGCAGAAACAAACGCCGAGAAATAGGCAGTGCTCGATGCCTTGACAGTGCCATTCAACAGCAGAGCGGTGGCTCTCGAAGGAGATAAACCCGAGCTACCGGAAACGTCCACGCTCGGCAGGACGAACTGCGACATACCTGGATGGGAAGCATCGCGGCCATTCACCCTCACTCTACCGACGAGGAAGAAAAGAACGGGAATAATGATGAAGTCTTGGATAAACGTATTTCGCGGTGGAATAATCCACCTCGTGCAGTCCTCCTGCTACAACTAGAGAAATCTGGGCCACCTGGCGAGCCGGAGGAACCAGATTGACGGAACCGGGTAAAACGTGGTCGGGCGCATGAATGAGCAAAACTGACGAACGGGAAGAAAGCCCGTCAAATTGGGCCGGGGGGGAGATCAAGTTTGTTCTATAACGTAGTAAGGAACCCGAGGCGCTGGCTGGGACTTTTAGCGCACGAAGGTTCGGCAGCCCAACGACGGGTGGGACGTGTGGTGCGGTCGGGATGACGATAGACGATGTAGTCGAGGAGAACGGTTGGACGGTGGGTGAATGGTCCACGCTCCGAGGGTGAGGGTTGCGAGTCGACGTCCCGGGATGCCTGTCACGCTGCCTTGACTCGTGTGCTGTCGAGATCGACTCAGGCCGACGGTTGAAGGGTCAGAACGTACGTCGACCTAACCGGCGACGAGGCCCACAAAGTAAAAGTAGGCGCGGATTGTCGACGGGATGGCCGGTTGGGGAAAGTCTAATGTGTGTGAGGGATGGTCGGAGGAGGAGAGGGAGAGAGAGGGAAGAGACGGAGCCGAGCCAAGGACGAGAGAAGGACCAGAGAGAGGAGGGAAAGGAAGCGAGTTAGCGTGAGAGAGAGAGAGAGAGAGAGAATAGAGCGTCAAACCTTCAGCCTTTAGCGTGTGCGTGCGTGCGTGTGAATGGTGAGGCGGGCCGGTTTGGGTCGAGGGTGGGAGAGCCAGAGGAGGAGCCCAGCAGGAGGAGCCCAGCAGGCGGACCTACCTACCTAACACAGGTAACCGGTGGCTACTAGTGGCTACCAGTGGCAGGGCAGCGTGCGTGGGTGGGTGGATTTTTGGGGTGGATTATTTGGGGAGAGTGCTAGTGTGAGATTTTGGCAGATTGGGCGATAGCACGAGTGCGAGACCCGCAGGGGGAAGGATGGGATTGGCCCGAGCAAATCAGCCGGGGTCGTGCGGGTTCCAGGTGGAGATGATTGCATCGGGATCCCTAGCTGTGGGTCGGTTCTGCCCAATGGACGAGCCGGTGTCGGTGGGTCACAGGTCCGCTGGGCGACGGTGGGCACGTATCTTGTACCCGTTCACGGATGGGCATACATGAGGATGCCTGCCCGTGCGTGCGTCTCCTTGCGGCACTCCAAGTACCCACGAAGCAAGTTCCGCTTCAGCCATGTACCTGTACACTTGTGGCGCACTCGCTAGGCAGTACATGGCAGGCCCCACCCTGTTCCTCCCCCATGGTTAGGATGGCCCCATCTCTGCCACGCTAGGCTGGTTTTGGGAAGGTCATTTTCATCATACACCACTCAGCGCCACCCAGCACCCTGCCGGGACAGGGATCTCTGAGGAATTTTTCTTGATCAAGTGGCTTCGACAAACCAACACCAAGTACTACATACCTAGCCATGTTCGGCACGCACATACTCGTACATGCGTGGGAGCTACCTCCTATGTACGTAGGCCTAGTCGGTGCCATGCTGTGTACTAGGTCCGCGTGCGCAGCGCATATATACCTACCTACCTAGACGTAGTGTCAAGTACCCGAGACGCCATTACGTATGCGGGCACTACCTCCCTACTGCCTACCATAGAGGCGAGGTAGGTATGTGTATATGTGTATATGTGTACGCATGCATGCTTGTTATGTATACTCATACCATAGGGATGGGGGAAGTCATCCGCTTAATTTCAACCCGGCTGTAAATCCCCGAATGCGCGTGCACGTTCGAGCGAGAGACCAGTCGAGGCAAGTCCCGTCTACCTGGACCGGAGACGGTGTCGGGATGCCACGCCGTACTGTACGTAGGATGCGTGCTGCAGAGCAAATGGTAGAAACTGGTGGATCCCATTTGCGCGGCAACCAACCACCTGCTCTCCCGGGCGCCAGGATTCTCCTTCATCTGAAGTTCCTTGGGTCGTCCTTGTTTTGAGAAGGGCGGCCTTTTTTTTTTTTAATGTCTCAAACCCAGACCAGGGGAGGAAATACAATACAAAATGCACGAATTGCACTTTCGCAAGAAGACGAGATCCGGTTTCCCTTCCCCAATACCATGATGGCGGGAACAACCGTACCCCACCACACATACACGTATATGTGTATGTATATATGTATCTATGCAGTTATACATACTACAACAGATATGTACACGCGACGCCATATAGGGAGAGACGAGACCCAGTTGCTAACGCGCTTCTATGTAAATTGCGTCCGTGCCTCGACCCCTATGTATGTGTATTTATATGGTACATCTAAGATTAGGAATGGGTCATATATATATATGTGTGGTGTGTGTGTATGTGTGTTTTGAAGGTCGAGCTAGGTACGTAAGAAAGTAGTAGGTAGGTATCAGCGTCAACAAGCCTTCGTAGTACCTAAGGTGTTAGGTAGCAGCGAGACTAGGTAATATGAAGCAGCACCAGGTTTGGGGATTAGACAATGCATAATTTCGAGGTTGAGGTCTCTCCCCTCACTAAGAGCCTTTGCGAGGTATATCGTAGAGGGATACATTCTTTAGGCAGCTTGCTAGGTTTCCCGCAGTCATCATCCAACTATATCGTATACGATGCAATAAACTCAACAGAAACCCGATACCGTTTGCTTCTTATCTGCTTCTGATGTGCATATATATACTCACGTTTTCTTCCTTGCTACCACTTTATAGGCCCTGTCCCCCTTTCCCCCATTTCGGCCTTTTTTTTTTTCTAATATAAAATTGCACATGTACGTGGGATGACAAACCCCCCATTCTATGTCGGATGAAACTGCCATGGCCGTAGAGTACATACGCCTCCGCTCTCAAAATCCCCCGTCGAGTCTGCACACATTAGGTACTACGGCGAGTGTAGATGTATGCATACGTGCATATAATATACCTGTCTGCATGTACCATATGTGTTGTGGTGTAGGTAGGTAGGTAGTACCTAAGGTAAGATCAACACTCCCGCCGGGTCGCTTTTCGCACTGGCTCTTTTTTCCAGAAGATCGGTCCACGAGGTAAACAGGAAGCGATCTGATGTGACGATGAAACACCGTTGCAGCCTCCCGGGTTCGTACCATTGTAGGTAATAGCATGCTACGTCGTGTGCATATGTACGTAGATATGCACGGAGTGCCCACCCGCCGGACCTGGGAACCCACCCAATACATGCCCACACCACCCGTATAACGCATACACACACATATATACATACACAATACCCATACTCCTCGCGTATAGATTATCTATATACAGTGGGAGCCCAGGCGGGTTACAGGGCCAAGCACTTACATAACGAATCTGCGTATTATCCATATCTGTTTATCCGTGTGATACGTAGGTACCTACATTTATTCACTTGCTACTCCCCACGTCCAAGCACTATGGATATATACACTACCCACGCATTCCCGCAAGCTGACGCCCCAGGTGCCTACATAAGTACACACATAGTAGTATTTATTCAAGTCGACGGCTCAGCCATTACGGGAGAAAGGGGCTAGGGGGGTTGGAAATCGCTATCACACATTCTCCAGCTCGGGACCCGCAATTCCATTCCGCGTGTTAAATTCCGAGTCGAGTAGCAGCGAACCATTGCACCCCCCTACTACTTACCGTGGTTGCTTCCGCCAATTCTATACGCGTAGTAGGCTTGGGACGGGCAAGGTACCACGTGAGGTACAGTACAATATGCACCGTGTGCGGCATGATACATGTACGGTGCCTGCTCTGTCTATATGTACCTAATGTGGGTGTGTATGCATGTAGGAACTTTGTCTTAGGTAGGTACTTGGCCACGTTTATCAGGTGTGTTAAGTACCAAAGGCAGCACCCATGTACTTACATTTACTTGCATCGAACGATAGATGCTACCTGGAGGGTGTGTACCTCATATGTACTGCGTCGTAGAAGCGAGGTACGATTCAGTAGATATAATGTACATGTATGGGCAGATCCACCGATGGATCGCGGCCCGGTTGGTCGGAGTGGAGGTTGATTAGAAATGGCGGGTTTACATATGTCCCATATGCCATGTGGTAGTGGGTGGACTGGGTTGGGCAGGTAGAATGTACCGGATGTACATATGGGTATGCTGTCTGTACGAGCATGAGAGGTATCTCTCATATACAGGCACCTACCTATACTTATAGAGGTAGGTGTAGGATCGTGAGTTGCCCCGAGCTTGTTAAGAAAGTCGAGTTTGTCGATCTAGCAAATCCCACGCGCCATCTGTGCTTCAGATACTGTACCGTTCCACCTTCGGAGCCGTTACCGAGATGATCCTTTCAGCATTGATAACAAATCGTTAGATGCGTGCATGCCTACCTTAGGTAGGTACCTATACGTAGGTATATATACAGGCTTGTCACGCCTTGCTGGGATACTACTAGGTATGTACACACGTAGATGCATGCCTCCCACACCAGGACAATGTTACTATACAATATACCCAGATACTGTGCAAGTATGTGGCGCCGGCGATAGCAATCCAGAGATATGTGTCCGCTCTCCTCGATAAATGGGACGTGTTTGCCAGTCTCGCGGGTGGCACGGGCAGAGAGGACCTAGGACCGACATTAGCCAGTCCAGTCTCCCTGGCATCGTCGCCATATAACTAAGTTTGAACGGTACCATGATTGACGGCGTAGCGCTAGGCTCTCTTGGCAGCGTTTATAGTATAAGCGGCACCTAGAAATTTGTCCCGACATCCACCTAATATAGCCGTCGAGATGGGACGACATAGCTAATGTTCATCCGTCCCCCCCCGGCTTAGTGGCGCCTCAACTACCTTCAAGGTTGGGGCGACGGCCTGTAAGTTTGTGAGAGCCACAGCGAAGAGAAGGGAAAAGAGATAGATATTTATCTGGCTATGTGGTTATTCCCATGTTTGCTTATTCTTGTTCGCTTGTTGGTTGCCAGCGAATGTCAGCGGCCGGTTGGTTATTATTGGTTGGTCGATCTGTTTGGTAGGTTGCCTCGACAGCGAGGATGGCGATAGGCCAGTCTCCAGATCGTCGCCGTCGTACACGAATGTACGGCCGAGACCCTGTCCGTCCTCTGCTCCGGGAATACTGACTCAGCTAGGCAAGAAATCGTGATCGGTATCCCTTGCAGTCATTGGGGCCTCAACTAGAAGCTTAGTCAACGCGGTACGCCAGGAGCCCAGACAAGGCGCCCATCTAAGCTCCGTCAGACGAAAGCGACGGCGGCAATTAGGCCTCTGGACGCCCGCCGATCTACGGACCAGATTTTATATGCATCTCCCACCGTCACCCATGTATGTATCTACTACTTGCAAACGCTTCTCACCAGGGCGTCTGTCTCGCCCGCCATCCATCCCGAAGCGCCGCTGCCGCCTCCTCTCTTATTCTCTCGGCGAGCGACTTTAGTGACCAACGGTAGAAGTTTAGACGCATTCATACCGTGCGCCCCCGTTGCTAGCGCGGCCGGCCGATGCCCAATACCGGCCATATCCATGACAGAGCGTCGCCGAGGTTTAGGCACACGGCTACGCGAGGAACGGTGATCCGGCACCATGGCCTCTGCTCTGCATTATCGCCTCACCGTGACGCGCAAACCTTGTCGTGTGCATCCTCCCAGTCTAGCAAACCGGAACCAGACAGCGGTGCAGACGAAGATTACTTTAGACGCCACATCCTACTCAAGCTACTCAAGACCGACATCGTGCCGGGCAGGGAGGCGTTCCCTCATCAACAAGCATGGAAACCGAGGTCATCCCCATCCGTAGGGTTTTGATACTTAGTTCAACTACCCTGGCCCCGGGGATACTCGACAGGAAGACGAAGGCGAGAGGAGAACAGGTTGTAGAGCTCAGGCAATGCCTAGTACTACCTCTATAGGTATATTTGATGTATAATTGATTTTGGTGTCTTGTCAACCCATCACAATTATTTCTATGGTTGAATTAGTTACTGCCTTGGCTCCCGCACGTTATGGGACAGCGTTGCAGGATGTTAAAAATAAAATAAAGAACTTACAGGCATGTAGATAGATAGATGAATGCAGCACCACATGAACCCCTCTACCGAATGTACCTAACTTGCACTTACAACTAGATCTCAACACAAATTATAGCGTATGAAACGGCAATACGATATACATATACAACTATATACTATGTAGTATGAATAAATTCACCTAAAGAGTATATGGGTCAAGGGCAGCGGGTATTACCTAGGGAATTTTGTGTCTGCCTTGCATGTGCTTCGTCAATAGTCGAGGAGCAACGACAATCTTCATCGGGTGAGAAGAGGGGGGGGGGATTAAATAAAACCCAGGCCCTCAAGCAGTAATAATATAACAAAATATGGACCAAATATCACAGCTCTTAAAAAATAGGTAATATTATCTCTCGGAAGGCCCAGCATAGATCCCCGAGCCTCCGGTTCCTTCCCAGAAATCGCGCCGGCCCTTCGCATGAGGACATGTACGCGAAGAAAATTAGCGAGGCGAGTATCGTGACCGGCATCGCCCCTTTTCTCTTTGCGCGTCTCTCTCCTATAATCCACCACCTTCGCTCTCTCTTCGTCTCTCAGGTTTTTTTTTTTTTGGTTTTGCATTAACGGGAACTGCAGCAAGCATGTAATAACCCCAAACTCGGTAGATTGGTAGATTGTATGGCTCGGTCGGAGCAAAGGATGGATAGGGAGAGCGAAGGGAGGTATGCGGTAATAATCTTCTCGCCGTTTTACACAAGTAGCACTCCGCCCGATGACCGGATGTCGCGCTGGCAGCTCCCCCACGCGACAGGCTTTTTCTTCTTTTTCCTTTTCGCAATGCCGTCCCGTAGAGCCGACAACCTGGGTCTCATGACACTCGCGAAAGGAGGGGAGGACACTCTCGAACAAGAGCAATAACGAGGAAAGAAATTAATAAGATGGAAAAGGGGAAAAATGAAACCAAATAAGCAAAGGGTCGATCATGAGCTGGTTAGACTAGGATGGGCCTTCTCCACGAGCGGCTCTAGACATGCGCACTGATAGATGATATGTATGCCGGAATCAATTCATGGCATTTCCTCGTGTCCACTCTGCCTTCGAATCACACCGCTTGATAGGCACGATGCCCGAAGCGCTTACGTATGTCGACTGCGATGCTCAGAGGACTCAAGAGAAGGAGATGCGGCACAGTCAAGTCGCACCACATGGCATCCCACACGTACGGAGCCGATGGAACACCAAGCTCGCCAAAGAAATGAATGCATACGTACATACATAGTTGCATGCACTAGTTACGTAGAACTGGGTGAAGCACTTGGCTCATATGACTCGAAGGGCTCTATGGGGAGATGCTGTCTCGGATAGATAAAATACAGATAAATAAATAGAGAACACTCCCGCACCCCCTTTCCAAAAATGCCCCCAACCGTACCCCCTAATCGTATCCCCCTCGACCCGGGAACGTAGGTATGTAGTAGACGTAGAAACGAGAATGAGGCTTCCAGAAACCAATGCAAATAATGTATACGCACACATGCTTTCGTATTCGTTTACTCAGTCGTTAAGTATCCGTATCGGCTGCGTACGGCTCACGTCACGCAGATTTCTCGGTAGCTGAGACTCTAATACTGTCACGTCACACGATAGTTGAGGGAGCCAGCGAGCTAGCGAGTGGCTGGGCCTCTCTCTCTCGGTAGTTGTCGCTCGCCGCTCACCTCGTCTCGGTACCCTTGCTGGGTGTTAAGCTTGTTTCACCCACCTACGGGGCGGAGGTTTGTTTGGGTGGGGAGAAAGGGAGAGGAGCGCGACGAGGTCTGTTGATGTAGGACGGTAGGGATCGTCTCATTTCTAACAAAAAAGAAGCTGAAGCTTCCCGTGGATAAGATGGAGCAGGTGATTAGGCGGTGGTAGATCTCTGCCAGGAATAAGTCGAACAACGCCGTCATTGCTTCGGCGTCTGAACGCATCTCATGTGGTATGCCGTGGAAAGAAGAGTAGTGAGCTACGCCATACTACTAAGGAGTATGATATATGCCCAGTGTGTGTACCCCGATACCCCATATATCTTCTAAGCTTCCCGAAGTAACTAATAAGGACAATTCATTATGAGATAGCCATGCGTCGATTAAAGAGTATTCGTGTATCTGTATATCCCACAGGCTACTAGAACCAATACTAATGTCTATCCTCCTAGAAGCCGCCATCCCTCACCACTACGCATATCACTGACGCTCACGACTCGTTTACTTACACACGGCGCTCTCTCCCCCCCCTTCTGTTTCTTGCCACAAGCTACAATGCGCCATTCCAAGACTTACATGCCTAATTATACGACGGCATCTTCCCCCTACGCAGATGCCGCCAGAAAAGAGTGAATTATTATGCCGCGTCTGTTTCCTCCCTAGCCACACTCCCCGCTCAGTTCCTTTCTTTACCGGGACGCCTAGCACCGGCGTAACGCCCGAGAAATTCTAGGGTCGAGCGGGAATACTAGAAGCAAGAATCGAAGATGATCCTTGGGGAGAACGTTCCCCGTAAATACGCGAGAATGGCGACGAGCCGGGTAGATAGGTTGGGCGCGTTATGACAACCCCTTGCCCTTCCCCGACTGATTGCTCCTCCAGATATGCTTCCTTGGTCTCTCTCTCCGCGTACACAGAAGAGAGGCTTGAATGTTCCACGTATGGCCGGTATTCGGAGATGAGGTCAGACAGGCATGAGACCGTAAACCAAAGAGCACGTCGCAACGGGACCTCCCGAAGACTAGAGAGCCCACATGGTACACCCGCCTCCATGGTGATGGTGCCAGCGCGGACTCGGCGAACCTAACGGCACGAGTCAGGCGGCTCAGTGAAAAAGCTCGATCCCCTACTCTCCCAGCCTCCCGGGTATGTAGAGGGCTAACTAGGCATGACTCGCCGGGTACATAACCGTTGCCGAGGGGGCTGAACCAGGAAGGGTTGAGTGTATGCCCTTCTCGTTTACAGGTGTTAACAGTCCCAGGCACCGGGATCCCGGAACCTAGAGAGCCATCTCATGAACTTCAGCTTCGGTCGAGTCTTATGGGGGCAAGATCGTGGTAGAGGTGTCTAAGTCCCTTATTTTGACGCGTATGGGCCAAAACTTTTGGACAGATATACACATGTAAGTTGGCTAATCGCATGCCGATGCTGTCTTCTCAGACCTCACGTAAGTGTACGTAATGCCGACCACGATGATAGGGCGGAGCTACTAGAGCTAATTAGTCTCAAGCCGAATCTATAGAATTCGAGTCCGCGGAGTCTGGGGCTGAGAGGCTAGTCCCCGTGCGTAAAGTCCTCTTTATTATAAGAGGTGTAGCTATTGCTAGCACGCAACCACAGTGACTTACTGAATGCGGATGATATAAATATTCATGTTTCGGGTCGAAGCGGCGGAAGGAGAGGGGTATTTATTTCGTCTCTCACTCGCACTCACTACTCCATTAGCTATTAACTCTCATCACCCTCTCTCCTCAGTCCTTGACCCCCCAAATTCCCCCCTATCATACCATAAAACAGCGTAATTACTACGAAGGGTATAAGTTTTCGCGTTCCTGCCTCTCCTTTATAACGAGCGAAGGTTCCTGGGAGTGTAATCAAGCGCGCGCGCCAAGTTAAGACGCACACAATTTACCCCATTCATAACAGACGTCCTTAATAGCCAATTCCATCCGTTTTCGTCACTCGGGTATATCGCATGTGTGCGTTTATATAATCCATATGGGTCGTGTTCGTGATCGTCGTTCTTGGGTCGGGTCTCGTGCCGAGCCGTCATGTAATGACCATAACGACAGCAGTAACAATTATAATATCGGATAGCGAGTGTCGGGCCCTACCAAAGAGAATAGAGAAAAGAAAGATAGTCCGAAAGACGCCGTGGTCGACTTTCCGTAGGTCTGTCCATGGGACGTTTGTCGAAGGGCGGAAAGTCGCGCCGTCTCTATCGTGACGCGATGCGGCGCACGTATGCGCGAGTCGCTCAATTCCTCTATGCGGCCTGCTCGCCAACGACGGCACCCTGCGCCGGGGCGGCGGTCTTCTCGGGGAACTGGCCTGAGGTGGGGACGCGGCCGTACCGAGTGAACGCTACAGCAACCTTCAGTTAGCTTCTCTCTTTCTTGCTTATGGATAACTATAAAAAGGAGGGGTGGAGGGTTGGTGAAGGGAGGTGCGTACCGATATTAAGCTTGCCGTAGTCCCAGCGGCGCGCGAGGAAGAGGAACGCGAAGGAAACGGCGGGCACAAGCAAAACGTCGAGGATGCCGAAGAAGATGTACGCCGGCGTCACACCGATACGGTTACCACCGTCCGACAGGCCCCAGGCGATGGGGTACAGGAGCCACAGCAGGTTGACCCAGCCGGCCAGGAGGGTGTCTGGTCGAGTTAGCCACCAAACTCTCACCCGTACGCGCACAAAAGAAACGGGGAGTGAAGATTGGGGAAGGCGTTAAACGTACAGTCGCCAGCGACCTCAACCCGACGAGCGGCCACAGTACCTCCGAACAGGGTGTTGAAGGCGAGGAGTCCCCAGGCAGTGGTCCCGAAGGCATAAAATCCCCACTTATAGTTGGTCGTGACGAAGGCAGAGACGAGGTAGGAGATGGCCCTTCAAACCGGTCAGCCCCTTTATCCCGACAGACATACGAGAAACTTTGCGCATTCGCGGCAAAAGGGGGTAGGGAGAGGAGCGGGGGAGAGGAGGGGTTTTACTTACCAGGTCCATGCGAGAGTCACATTATATAAGATGGTAGCCCAGGAGATGCCGCTCAGAAGGCCGAGGGCGATGGTGATGGCAGGCCAGCTGACGACCCAGTTGACGTACTCAGCCCAGAAGACCTGGCGGGTCCAGAATTCTTCGGGACGGTAGTTGACGACGGGGATCGCGACAAAGCCGAGGTCGGAGGCGATGGCAAAGGAGGTGATGGAGCCAACGAGCAGGGCAATGGTAAATAAGTAGTGGAAGATCTTCTCGCCGGACCGAGCCGCGAAGCTGGTGGCGAAGAAGGCGATGAAGGAGACGACGTAGATAGCCGTCACGGCCCAGAGCCAGTTACTCCCATTTACCGTGAGCTCCTCGTTGCCCGCTGGAGGGTTGATATCCAGAGCCTGATTTAAGCGTGGGAAGATAACAGCCATGGTGAAGGTTGGCTATGTTATTGATGGTTTGTTTACTCGGGATGAATTCGGTAGATTTAGACCTGGAAGATTTCAGATGGGCGAGGCCTCAGTTTCGGGGATGAAAACGGGGGGGGGGGGGGGGTTTAGGTGATTCTAATATATATAACCTTTCGATCACGGGCTGAGGCGCTGCGAGCAAGGCAACTCAGAGGAGGGGAGGGTCCTATTATAAAGAAGAGCCTACCAACATCACTGCAACCCCCTTTCTTCCCCTAGCTTAAAAAAAAAAGGGCATCGAGGACCGAGCCGCGCAGAGTCACATCTGCCGCGAGGCCCGGAGACCGAGTATTGGCGGTGACTCAGTGGCCAAGGATCAAGAGGTAGGACTAAAACCGAAGTCCGAACAAAGCATTCCGCTTGGTCGGTCATATGATCTCTATTCCATGGAAACTTCCACAACGTCTGGTAGGTGGCGGGCGGCGGATCACGACGGATCATGGTGATGCGGTTGTGGCATGGGATAGATAGCCCAGTTAACTACCCACATCGGGACTGGGTTCGGCATGGGTGGGACGACGCAGTGTCTTCTGACCCCGACGAAGAGCAGGTAAAAGTCTTCATGCAGGATAAAAGCCTTTCGTGATACACAATTCTTTGGACCAATACCGCCGGCCCTCCCCAGTCCTGGTGTGGGGAAGCTATAGGACTCTACGTATCAATGGCAAGGAACGTGGCAGCTCGCAACCGGTTCAAGCCGACACCGGGCATCCAGTATTAGTGCAAGCCTTGTCTGAGACGAATATCCGCGGAGCAACCTCCGGAGGACGGTCATAAAAGCACAAGCCGACCTATGAGCGGCTCGATAGGCAGTAGTAGGTAGCATCGAGCCTGGCGTAGCAAGGGGAGAGGGCGCCGGGGATGGCCCACTTGTTCTATCCCGGCCCCCGGTCGACGTCGCCGCCTTACAAATGAAGCCGAGAGAAATACGGAGAAGGGGAGAGGCTTGCTCAGAAGGACGATGACGGTTATTCAGAGAAGGGAAAGCTAGGAGGATGCTTCGGGATCTAGTCAGCAAGAAGCAAGGTGTGCCCGGTAATCATGTCAAGTGATAATCTATGCGTGAAAACCGGTGATCCGTTGCCACGACTCTTCGAGCTAGTCTGTGTAGATGAGGGATGGCGAGATGGTAGATGGGTGGGGGCTTTCACGGCAGCGTCGGATGAACTAACTCAGGACAAGAAGAAGGCCTAGTCTGACGCGGGCCATTGGGTTCCCACGATGCTGGACCACGTTCCCGTCTAAGAAGGGCAACGCGCCATCGACCAAAACGGGCTTAACGATCCAGCAATGCCGGAGCTTTCCCTGCGCCTGAGCGGCGTGACATGGGCTTTGCTGGGCGCGAGAGACCTCTCGACCCCTCCAACTCAGGTCGGTAGCGGTTAAGCGACTGGGCAGATGCACTGTGGCGTCGACTTGACGTGACGTGACGTGATTATAATTAAGGTGCTGTGACGGCGGACTAGTAAATGGACCATGTAGTATTGCTCGCCCAACCTACCTAATTGTAGTTCGCAGCTAGCGGGTATTGGAGAGGGTTGCCAGGAGGCGACGAGATAGGTAGATCAATATGTCTCTCACCGAAATAGCCTCTTTACCCCTATCGACCAACTAGTCTCGCCCTTCTCGTTCATGGCAACTTTGCTCTCGATTAGAACATGCCGGTATGTGAGTAGGTAGATCGTTCGTTCCAGGCCCATCATTACCCTCTTCAACAAGGTACCTTGAACCCAAAATCGGCGAGGTTGGAGATGGAGAGAGGGGGAACATGGGATATTGGGCCACTGAGAGCCTCAATTGCCCGCAGTTCGAACCCCATCCCCCCCGGCTCCCGCGGAATCACCAATGCAACCCAGCTGCCACGCTAATCCTGTCTGAGATGACGATCGACCACACGGGTTGTCATGCCACCGGGTCTTTCAGTCGCGGCCGTGGGCGAACGGAGTTGGAAATGGGTCGTCTAATAATAATAGCCGGCAGAAGATTTAACAGAGAAGAGAGCTTGTTTAAACATCCCTAGGAAGTCAAGTCAGGTGGAGATGAAATGAAAGTCCGGATGCTTCGGCAGGGGCTGACTTATAAACCTACGAGGTAGAGAAGCACAAAGAGAAAGCTGAGGGCATTGGATGGTGAGATGAGATGAGCCCGACATCGGGTATAAGTCAGCAAGGGGTGTAAAAGAAATGCACGAGTTCAAGGAAACATTTGCAGATCGGGGGCTGTCTAGGCTCACTAACGAAACCTACGAGCGCATACCCATACCCTCCTATACATTCATGATACACCCCCTTTTAGTTTTGATGTCCTAAGCCAAATGCCGAGGTACGAAGTCGGCGAGAGTGACAGGTAGCGACGGGTGACTACGTACGCCGCCGAGCGGTGGCTCAAATGCACGGGAAAAGTGGCCGGCGAGCGCTCTGCAATAATACTCTGCAATAGCACCCGTGGAGTTTTCGGTTGAACTTGTCCGTCGCAACGCTCAACCCAAGCCCGTCGGAAACCGTTGCCCCATCAGCTCTCCATCGGGTGCTACATCGCACGCCCGCGTGGTACGGCGTCAACAATCTGGATGCGAATTGGCCGGACTTGCTGGGTGCCTCGAGATTCGGGAAAACAAGGAGGGAGGAAAAAAAAAACCAATGCGTTGTTACAACTCGTAACATAACCGCTGGCTCATCGTAAGCAAATCTTCGCTTTTTTGTTTTCCGTCCTTCTCCGAGGTGTAATTCGCTAAGAAGATCTCGCAGAGCTCCCCCCCCGTTCCGCGCCCTCCCCCCTTCGTACTCACTCACATGTGGCTTCGCGATGAGCTCTCACTCGCTGGCGCGCCGGCTCGGCACCTCGGACACAGGGAGCATGCCCGAATGTGCGGAGGGGAGGGGAAGAAGGCAAGTAGTAATATACAACCACCCATCCATCCCACACGATACATACACCATCCATCCCACACACCATCCATCCCACACACCATCCATTCCACACATACATACCGCAAAGGCAATGCAGTTGGCGAATCAACCCTACCCGCTGCTGCTACGGTACTGCGGATTATTGGCCCAGAGTAGGACCATGTAAATCGTGCCACGCCCGTCTGTATGTGCCGGTCACGCCATTGGCTCGTCCTCCCGTCCTTTTAGCTAAGAGCTTCAACCCCATACCTCAAGTGCCATCGCCCATCGCCCATCCCCCGCCGGCGTAGGGCCTAGCATATGCGCCATGGCATCCTCGTCGATCTGTTGTTGTATGTTAATCTGTTGTATGTAGTTATTGTATCTTTGACGCCTTCTTTCGACGATCCGCCGACACACACCGACGTGTTTTCATTCTTCCCCTCCGGGCCCTACCCAACCTCTCTCTCGTTCTTTCTCGCCACCCCTTTAACTCACTCGGCTAGCCTTAGCATAGCTATCTAGGGTCAACTCTGGGGGAAAATCCCGCCCACCTGACTTCGAGACTGCGCGCCGTCTAGTCGCTAGGCCTGATGCCAATGTCAGTTCGGTGTATGCGACACACGGGCGTACATCCGTCTACCCAATATATGTGCGGGATTCCGGTGGTATCTGAGACTGGACCTAGGTTAAGGACTAGAATTGTGACGACATCCGGGGTTAGTATTCAGCAATTAATACTTGGGCGGCCGATGTGGTAGGCATACACTGTGGACAGATATACACTCTGCCGGTTTTGTTCGTCGCTCCGAGGAGTTCACGACTACCCAGGTAGGAGGAAAACGCCTAGAACGCCGTTTCGCCTGCTATGCTAGGCATACTCGGCTGCCTATCCACCATCAGCGCCCGTACCAATATTGCTCCTTAGGCCGAGCTGCGCCCGGGTCTCGGCCTCGCAGCATCTCTTCCTAGTGTTACATTTTTAATAGGCCGCCGGCTTCATCTGCCACAGAGCGGATTTCGCCCGTTCGCGCACGTCGATCTCGTCGTCGCCCTCCCTAAGAGCCTCGAGTTTCGACAAGAACCCCAACTTCTTTAGCTCGAGGGCCCTCTGAGAACATCCTGGTCCGTCGCTGGCATTGTCTAGCCACGTCAAGTTGTTGATGAGGTGGCACAGGGCCACCCGAACCTCTCTGTCCTTACTATTAAATAGCTTTGCGAGCTTTTTGAGTAGCTCCGTCTGGGATACCACTAACTGTCGGTGACGTGGTATGCTGGCCGCTATGTGAACCAGGATGTAGATAACCGATTCGATGATCTTGGTCTGCGGCTGAAGCACGCGGGCCTTGTTCCCCGTAGGGCTCCGCCGGCGATAAGGGTGGAGCACCTTAACCCGCAGCTTGGAGGCGAGGATTCCGAAAAATCGGTCTTGCCCCAAGGTATTGAACAAGTAATCGATCATTTCTGTTGTCTCGTTTGCCGAATCAGCGCTGCTGCTAGAGTGGGCACCGCCAATCAGATTCCGTATGAATCCCAGGCCTTGTTCCTGAATCCCGAGGTCGTCGTGCCGTGCTTTGGGGATAGGATCCAGCTCTGGTGCCCGGAGCGCTCCTAGCTCCATTTCCGCGAGCCGGATTATGCGGACATCGGGCTGGGCTCGGGTAGTAGGCGTCTTGTAGAAGGCTGTTGAAAGGACAGAACGATTATGGTCACCCGGGAGACCCATGTCTACATCCTCGTCCATGTCGTCGGGTATATCCCGAGAGGCTGGCCTATCACCCCTCGAATTTGCTAAGAAGAGTGCGTCGTCCTCGGTGTCGTCGCAGATTAATTGAACTAACCAGCCCGACTCAAGCTCCTCGACACACCTCTTCTTCAGATCGACGCTCGACGAATGAACTAGATTTTTAAGGGCCCACAGAGCATTTAATCGTAAAGATGGGTTGTGCGAGTGCGCGTGCTCGCACAGTATCCCGAGGATGCCTGCTTCAACAAGGGGCTACAAAAAAGCAGGGTTAACCGTTGAGTAGGTTGGATTGAGCTTGCTTTTATCACTTACTTCTCTCATCGGGCTGAAGTCCATGACGAGATTGCAAACCGCCGCGGTGGCTGCTACCTGCACCTCGATATCATGATGTCGAAGGAGCTCGAATAGAGGCATTGACACCGCATGGTCGACGAGCGCTGTCCGCAAAATATTAACCGAGCGAGAGAGAGTGCGGACAGCATAACAGGCTGCGATAACAACCGGAATCGGGTTGCCAGGGTTTTGAGCCACAGACTCGACGATGTAATGAATTGCTTCCTGGTCAACGATAGCTTTCCGGTATTCATCCTTAAAGGTTGCGAGCGCGCCGATAGCTCTCAGGGTGCTCTCCCTGACTTTGACGCGATGGACTAAATATCGGTGCTCGCCTTCTTCGCCTAGGCGACACTCTGGGGGCAGCCGACTGGGCGAACCTGGGCTCTTGTTGTGCGTCGACCACGTCCATGATTTGGCAAGGGGGGGCGGTACGTCGTAACTATCTTTGAGTAGCTTGCATACCGTCCTCACCGCGCCGCAATCGAAGGCTGCCTTCTGAAGAGGTTCACTATCGGTGATTAGGCGGGCTAGTATCGCCGGGGCCTCCTCGATAATATTGAGCATCGACGCCGTATCACGATCACAGTTACTGTAATCGACGCCCCTCATCTTCGTCTCGACCTCGTTTAGTATACTCAAGAGGACCGGTACAACAAGAAGGCCCAGGCTCGCTTCCCTTGTCTTATACGAGAACCCGGCTTTGAAGAGAGAGGTTAGAATCGAAGTGGCCATCAGGACCTCGTTGCCACTCCGTGATCTAACTAGAGTAATGAGCCAGGGTATCAGGGGACTCTCAACTTTTTCAAAGTCAGTATCGTTGTTAGGAGCAAAAGCATCCTCAGATGGGGTTCGTGAGGCAGCGGCACTCTGGAATTTGGATGCCGGGCGCCCGTTGGGGGTCGCATTCTCTCGTACTGTGCCGTATGATGGGAACGAGGCGTGGTCCGGGTGCCCCCGAGATTGAGCCAACATATAGGGGAGAAGCAAGTCCACAGGTTCGAAATCGATGTGTTTCGTTGGCCCTATCCCAGGGAGTTCCACGGGACCAGAGGGAGATTTCGTAGACTTAGTCGGATCGGTATCAACAATGGGAAAAACAGCTAGAATCGAGGGCGAATAGAGTAACTTGCACGTGCGATACGGCGAATCCCCGATAATGGCAGCGATTGCGCCTAGAACGCCGTCCAAACTACTAGTGGACGTAGCAGGCTCAGGCATATAATCCTCCAGGCCCTCCAGACGGCTTATGATATCGGCTCCTGGTAATACCTGGCCGTTGGCAACCACGAAACTAGCCAACCTGGTGGCGAGTGCATCTAGGATCCTGCTACTGACTAAGGCGGCCTGGTAGCGTTCCTCACGGCAAAGGCTCTTTATCAGGTGAGCGACGATTGATATTTGGGCTTCGCTATCGGGATTCGAGGCCTTGGGCGTGAGGATCTGGTAGATAGACTCGAGAGTAGGGCTGGTAAATAGTATGTCGGCCAGGAATGAGGAGGTGATAGGAGAAGAGGGCGAGGCAAACGCGGCGGCACCGGCAACGTCTCGTACCACCCGAAGGGCGGCCAGGACGATTTGATGATGCTCGTTTTGGAGACATGCCGGACTCAAGACGGCGGGCAAGACCCCGGCGGCATATAAGGGAGCGAGGAATGCAGGGCCGGCTATACGACACGATATGTAAGCTCCGTGCTAGATGCGCGGTAGTAGCCAGGGGGACGAGAGGGTGCATACCGTTGGCAAAGCTGGCGAGGAGCTGCAAAGCCTGGAGCTTTGCGCTATCTTCGTCGGTAAACGCCCTGAGCGTCAAAAAGGGCGGTTGCGTGCCTTTGCTATCTGGCTCGAGCGCATCGGAGGCTATGATATTGACGATGGGCCGGATGACGCCGTGCCGTACCCACTGCTCCTTCTTTTGCACATGGCCGACCACCTCGTTCTTCAGGAACCGGAGAGCCGTGACCTTGTCGCGAGTCCTTGCGTTGAGCTTAACTAACAGGGACTGGGGATCGAGCGCCATTGATGGCCAACGTGTCGTTTCTGAACCAGTCAACTTCGAGAGAGGGGAGAAGGGAGACGGTTTAGGGCGCAGCGTTGTGATATGGATGTACGTAGTCAGTCAGCGCACGAGGAGAGAGAAGGTTGATAAGTAGATTGATAAATAGCGATCGCGGCTTCGTTGCGAATGTCGTTGAATTACATTCTACGAGGGAATCCACAGGAGTGCTGGTACGTCCAGAACAATTACAGAGGTACATAGGTACTTATATAAGGTATCGACCTGGTTGGTAGGAGGTAGGTTAGGTGTAGGTACCTAGTCCGCCTAAGAGGTTTGAAAGAGGTACCTATCTCCTAGGAGTCTCACCTAACGCAATAATAAGGTACCCAAGGTACTGCGTGCCTGCCCTATATTAGGGGTACCTCGGTACCTACCTGTACTCCCGCAGACAGGTAGGTGGCAGGCATACCTGGTATGCGAACCCACCGAGGGCGTGGGACCCAGAAGAGCTGGAATCCATTGCTACATCCACCATCGTACATACTTCCTTTCTTCCCCTTCCTCTTTCATACCCGGAGCTTTTTAACCCAGACGCAGATGCGCCACAATGCCACAGCATCATGAAAAACGTTGCCATCATGCCCGGCACATGTTGATCTGCCAATTCAGGAATATAATTACTTCTCTATAGCCTCGGCACATAAACGGTCGAATAGAAGCCAAGGACTGATACCTTAAATTCGAGTAAGAGACTTAGGTACCTATGGGCTCGGACTTTGTAACTACAAATACTGAGGTCCTTAATTGGCTAAGATTGTAAACGTCATTTTTAGCTCTCTTTTCTGCCTGAGAGCCCTATAGAGAGAGCAACATCCAGTGGGATCCACCATTTACATTGATTTGTATAGAAATATAATGACGTCCTGATACCTTTGGTTTCTAACTGTTTAAGATAGTCGATATGTATGTGAGCATTGTGGGTTGTATTCTGAGTCGAGTTAGCTGCCTCTAGGGAAAAGAACTCTACCCTATGTCGCGCGGAATAAAGGATATTGAGGATAGAAGAGTTGCCAAGAGATTAGAAACTATACTCATAGATGAAAATTTCACCCCGCGCCTAGTGTTTTTGGTCCTTTTCGAATAAAAACCATTGCAAGGTCAGTATGTGTAGTTGAACTAGGGACATGTCCTATGGTACAGTACATGGTAGGTACATATTTTACATGCATGGATTAAGGCATTTACTCAAAGGTAGGTACCTACAAGTAGTAAAAAGTAAGATACTTCCATAAGGACATTGAAGCTTCCAACATAAGAGGTATGGAATCGTAATCGCATTACAAGCCAGATATATTCAGCCAGCTAGATGTAGTAACACATCCGTATATACGCATCCCGATATGCTAATACAACTGTCTAGGGATGAGCTAATATGTCTATGTCTACCTCGCATACGTAGGTATGTACGGTGACAAGTACCTGCCTAGGTATACTAGAGGTGTGTGCCCCACTGTTACTTACCTAACCTCTAACCCCTCATTGATTAATTCCCCCCCCCGTCCACCTCCCATGTGCATAATCTTCAAGTGCTGCTGCTGGAACCACGGACGCCTTGTTCTCCCTCCCCAACTACCTAACCTACCCAACCCAGCAAGCCTAAGAGAAAAAAAAAAACGCCTACCGATATCTACCTCCCACTATATCCCTAAGTCAATATAGTCCAATTTTGCATACCACTCCGGTGCGTGAGGCATGTGGCACCTCCGGTAGCGTGATCCATTCACTGACCCCCGATTCGTCTCTCCCATATCCGGAGCGACGCTCTGTAAGGGCAGACCTGGGAGTGGTGGGTCACCGCATGGAACTCGTGCCGAAGCAAATCAGCACCCAACCGTGGCCCTTGGTTTTTTTTGCCGCTTTTCACTGTTCTGTGGTGCGTTCTTTACCTCTCGACCTTCCAATCCCTATCGGTCATGACATCGAATATGTCTCACCGCCGCCTCTCACAGAAAGCAGAATTCTCCTCCGCCTGCGACCACACCCTACCTAACCCGCATTCCCTCTTCTAGGCGAACCGCCAAAGCGAGGCGTAGAAACGGGGAGCGAGAGTGAGTGCGTGCGTGAGCGAGCGAGCGAGCAGAAGAGGGGAAGAACAAGAGAGAGAGGCAGAGACCGAGTCGGAGAGCGCAGGTGTGAGTGAAGGGAAAAGGGAAAAGAAGAGAAAAGAAGACAATCTCTCCAGTTGCAGAGGGTGCTATTTCCATGACTGTCCACTTAATCCCGTTGGCGTAAACAACGAGTCGATCGCTCCCCAATAGTCAAGACGGCCGAGACACTATGACGCTGTGGAAATCATGTTAACATCGTCGCCTACGATAGCAGGAGCAACGAGCGCATCGCCGAAGACTCTCCATTATGCGACATCACGTTCTCCGCAACAGTCGCCCAAGATAACGGTGCCATTACCGCGTCGCCAATCTCGACATTCTCTATCACGTTCCTCGCCTTCAACCTCCATACGCTCTCCGTCCCTGTCTAGGCCAAAGCAATATGTGGGAGTCGATGCCGCCACCCAGTACTCACCGATGGAACCCTTCGACCCCATGGTGCCCTTACGAGCCGCATCGGTGTCAGGTCCCAGAATATCAAGCTCCACGGCTGCCGCGACAGCGATAGCGACAGCACCAGCGACGGTGATGACCACGACCGAGATCGAACCCAAACCCGCAATTTTGGAGACTTCGGTTGAACCAAATATATCTTCGGGCAGAAACGCGGAGGCCCAACACCAGGTCCAGATCCAAACCCTCTCCCCTAATAAAAGGCGCAAATCGCAGGACCCCATCGCCGCCCAGCCATCTTCGTCGATAGTAGCTTTGAGCCAACCGAGCTCTCCAAAACGGTCGAGACCTAATGAAGGTCCTCCTAAGGTACTGCCTCTGAGATATGAGCTGTGTGACGTGGAGGATATGGTGGTCCTCATTTCGAACATGCTCGGGGAGTTGATTGAAACGAACGACTCGATTGCTATGAAAAGCGCCCACCTCACGAGGTTTCATTCTAGGTGCGTTCCGGGCATTTCACGCGACCGGGCGATGATATTGATGAGGAACATAGAACAGCTCCGGGCATATCAGTTCTGGACTATCTCCAGCGACTCGCGAAGCACGCTACGCTAACGCCGCCACTTCTCCTTTCCATGGTGTCCTACATCGACCGCCTATGCGAGGACTATCCTGATTTTACAATCAATACTCTGACAGTGCATCGCTTTCTGATCACTGCTGCTACAGTGGCGGGGAAGGGCCTGTCGGATTCGTTCTGGAACAATTCGTTTTATGCGCGCGTCGGTGGCGTTAAAGTAGCGGAGCTGAAACTGCTAGAGCTTGAATTTTTAGGTCGGGTGGACTGGAGGATAGTGCCCAACCCGGAAGTCTTGGTGGCCTACTATAAAGGTCTGGTTGCGCGTTGCCCCGGCTACAGCCTGCAAGATGAGTTGTCCCTATCTGGTGGGGAAGACGAAGACGAGGAGAATGAAGATATATCGAATTAAGCAGGGGGAAGGACGGTTCTCGGCCTGCTGAGGATGGGGGTTCCCCGGGGGTCCTCGTCACTGCGAGGTTTCAACTCCTTTGTTATACCGAAAAGCAAGAGTTGCTTCGGTCGTTAGATCTATTTTCGGTCATAAGCGACACGGAGAGCTTTGCAGACACCAAGAAGAATCGGGGTCGCGATCCGCACCGTCACATCCATAATGAGGGATGTGTAGTGCTCAACGGAGACTACTTACTGGACAGCAATACATGAGTGGCCCTGAGCGTATATAACAACTTGACACAAGTATCAGGACGACAACTGGGTTTTTATCGTAATAAATAGATCATTAATGTATTGGAGGGATCCATGAATTTACAATAATTCGGTTAATTACGTCTCTCTTGTGGAGGTAGGTATTTACATCGGCTACGTACCTCTCTGTATGCTGGGTTGGCAGTTGAGGCTCATTTGGTTACAGGAAGAGCAAGCGGGACTAGGGATACATATGCACATCGCATTGATGTATGAACATGGAATTTGCTTACTATGGGAAGTTGCATGTGTACCTGAATGCTACGTAGCCAGGCCCCACTGGAGGGGGGATCATCGATAAAGGTGCATACATGTAGGTACCTTATTTTACCTTAGGTTAGGTACCTCCTAAAAAGGTACCTCCTTTAGGTACTCTCCACTACATTACCTGGTACCTGCGTGCCGACCTACCTATTTCTGTACCGGACACTGTGAACACCGCCTGCTACACCCCGTACATCACAGATCAACTGCTATCAACCTACGCCATTCGACATTCGTAACCCTGACTCAACACTACTCATCGCTTTCCGCCTCCTTGAATTTTACCTTGGAAACTCAGCACCTGGCTTCAAACCCCATGAGAGCTCCATGAAGTTCCTATCAGGCGTCTACGGCCTCACGGCCCTCGCGCTGGCCAGCCTAGCCAGCACCGCCGCCAGCGACCGCACCGCCGCCATATACATCCAGCCCGTGTCACTTTCGGCTGGAGAGCCGGCATCGGCCCCAGCGCCTCTCGCCGAGGTCCGGTACGACGCGTCGGCGGGCGCGGAGGTAGTTTCCTACGAGGCACCCGAGCTGCCGGAGGGAACGCGGCTCGTGCGGGTCGGGGTGTGGGACGCGGGCGGTGGGCGGTGGGCGTCGTCGACTACGGTAGGTTCGGCGGATAACTTTGGCAAGGGATTGGCGCCGGCGCTGCTGTTGTCGGTCGACGCGCGCGGTGACGTGCTCAGTGCAGCGCTCCGCGGGGTCCGCATCGACGCCGGTCAGACGCGTGACTTCGGCCCCCGCGCCCTCCTGCTCCCCTCTCTACCCGGCCGCCAGCCCGAGCTCAACAAGCCCGTCGTGCTATCGCCCGAGGGCAAGACCGTCGCCCCCGAAGAGAAGACGTTATTCCAAAAGTAAGCCGACCCCATAACTCTTCCGCGCCTATCTGATCTTACTCTGGCTACCCCTCTGCTCCTAGTTGAGTAGCCAGCCTTGCCTGCTTACCTGGAGCACCATCTTTAGCCCATGATCTGTTTGCTAACCGTGGCGTTATGTAGATATTGGTGGGTAATGGCCGTTGTTCTCCTCCTAACAATGAGCGGAGGAGGTGGTGACCAAGGGAAATAAGAGTTAGACTACGCGACGGGACGGGGACGGGCCACATTGCTCTACTTAACCGAGAGAACTAGATTCTTACTTACTCCTTTTAACTATAGCAGCCTGCTCTCTATAGGTATAGATAGGATAGTGGCGATTATCCAAGGACAGGGCACTATTTATGTTGGCTTTGGCACTGCTTGCCGTATTTATACATCACAAGTGCACTCGCCTTCTACTCTGTGATAGGTCGTCAATACTGCCGACACTTAAAAATGCGGATTTATGGGAAGAGCGTGTTATGAACTTAATTTACAATCTCGTCGTTCACCAGTCTATCCCATCCAGGCGAGGCATCGCACTCGGTAGGTATACACATCCCAGGTACTGTTGGTTGTATGATTTCCACAGGCAGAGGGAACCAGCGATAAGATAAGCAAAAGTGGAAGCGATCGAAAGCAGTTGGCGGTGAATACTGGCATAAGGTAGCTGAGGTAACAACTAAAACAGGTTTCTGCTTGGGAAAACAACAAATCAGGACCAGGACTGGAGGCACATCGGGTGGTGGCACAGTTCTTCGTGAAGGCTTACACCCTATTCTTGACTTTTCTTCGCCTTCATTTTGCCTCTCCCGTCTTAGCCTACTCGTCTAGTCGTGCATTGGACTTGGCTTGGCTTCAACACCAAGACCAACCTCTTTGGGCTGCAGCGACCTCTTGACAGAAACACCCGAGCATACTACTACGATAGCTAACAATATGCTGGCCCTCACGCATCACGAACACAATGCGCCGGAACTGACGCTGTCGGTTCTTGGCTGCGGTATGTCTTGCCTGACGTTTCATGCAGCTCGCGGCAGCTAACGGATTGGCCCGTCCCCCTCCCCCCTCCCCCCGGTGATTAGGTACTATGGGTATTGCCATCCTCTCCGGCATCCTGAGCTCGCTACAGGAGATGTCCGGTCCCAAGCCTCTGCAGACACCTTCTGGACGCTCGACGCCCCAGGATGAGGTCCCCGCCCAGCTGCCCTCCCGCTTCATCGCTTGCGTGCGCAGTCCCGAGTCCGCCAAGCGGGTCAAGCAGGCCCTGTGGGCTCACAGCTCGTCGCTCAAGGTCGTGCAGCGGGATAACGTGTCGGCTGTGACCAAGTCCGAGGTGGTCATCCTCGCCTGCAAGCCCTACATGGTTGAAGAGCTCCTCAACGAACCCGGCCTGTCCAAGGCGCTCCACGGCAAGCTCCTCATCAGCATATGCGCCGGCGTCACCGTCCCGCAGATCGAGAAGGTCCTGCACGGCGCCGTGCCCGAGAAAGACCCCGAGGTCGACGGCCGCTGCCGGATCGTGCGCGCCCTCCCCAACACTGCCAGTATGGTCCGGCAGGGCATGACCGTCGTCGCCAACAGCAATCCACCCCTGCCCCCGCATACATCGAGCCTCGTGACATGGATTTTCCGGCGCATTGGTGACGTCCTCTACCTGCCCGCCGAGAGCATGGACGCGTCGACGGCACTCGCCGGCGCTGGCCCGGCATTCTTCTCCCTCGTGCTCGAGGCCGCTGTCGACGGCGCTGTATCGCTGGGCCTCCCGCGCGCCGAGGCGCTGCGGATGGCAGCGCAGTCCATGAAGGGTGCTGCTGCCCTGGTGCTCAGCGGGCAGCACCCCGCGGTGCTCCGGGACAATATCAGCACCCCCGGCGGCTGCACCATCGAAGGCCTTCTCGTGCTCGAGGACGGTCGGGTCAGATCCACCGTGGCCAAGGCGGTGAAGGAAGCCGCCGTCGTCGCGAGCCAGCTGGGCAAAGGTATCTAAAGCTGAAGAAAATGAGGGAGAACCCTCGGCGTCGAATGTATACATGGGGTGGAGTTAAGGGCGTCGTATATCCTGTATAGACTGTGTCCCAAAATGCCGGATAATGCGTTCATGTATCCGCTGATCGCCGCACTCGCCTGCTTTTTTCGCCTAATCAATCGTCTCACATGAGAATGCAGTTGGTAGTGTAGGTAATGACTACATGTCTTCCGTACAACGACTAGCAGCCGAGCCGTGCTCTATAACAGCCAATAATGGCATGTTCCTCGGGCAAGATACCTAATTACGACCTCTCGAAACCAGCGCGAAAGTACAGGAGGTATCTATGATTCAATGCCAGCCATAACTCCGTTCCCACCTGCAAAGCACGAGATTTCTCTCATAAGCGTCTAAAAGCCAAGACTATGCCTTCCTACGAGGCGTCCCCGACGCGGGCCTTTTTGCTCACGGGATTCTCGCCGGCGTCCGCGACATCGAGCTTCCTCTTCCCATCCGAAGCGGTAGTCGCCGACTCGAGCCGGTCCAGAATCCTCGCATACTCCCACTCGACGTTGCCGACAGTCTCGTTTAGCTTAATGATGCGCTCCGTGATCTCGAACTCGCCTAGGACAGACATATTGCGGCGGTACAGCCGCTGCTTGAGAAGCAGACGCCAAAGCGCGTAGGCATGCTTGTCGGCTTCCGGTGCCGCTTGCTTCCCAGAGTCCCTTTCGGCTTGGGGCCGGACGGAATCGGGAAGGGTGGACATTAGGTGCATCTCGACGAGTCGTGAGAATTGCCGGGGCGCGATTTTCGACTTGACCCGTAGACTTTCCAGCCTCGCGATGTCTACGATCGGATCGCCAGAGGCGCTTGCATCTTCCGAAGCGGATACTTGCGTGCTGTGGTGCAAGGTGGCACCCTTCTCGGGGATAGCGATCTCGGTGTTCAGCCTGAGCCCAGAAAATTCCGGCGCATTCTTGCGCAAGTACTTCATGTCGCACAAGTCCCGCAGGAGGTCGAAGTCGTCGTTCGGATCTTCCACGGTGACTTCTTTAACGGCGCTGTTGTTTATCGCTAGCTCGAAGATGGTATTGTAGAGGAAAGCGCCGATTCCCTTGCCTTGAAAGGGAGGGAGGATGACAAACTGTGAAATTCGCACGCGGTGAGGCAGGTACTCGAGTGGAAAGTCCCCCGTCGGTAGCTCCCAAGACTCGTTATTGGGAATCTTTCGAGGAGCAGGTGTTTGGTACATCCAGAAATTATAGACCGTCGAGTAGCCCTGGAAAGTATACTGATGCTTGCCCGCCGCAGCGGGATCTGCTTCCTTCTTGTAAACGAAGAAGATGGACCATCGAGAGAGAGAATAGGCGGGTTCATCCTTCCCTTCGGCATCGACTCCGATGTAAGATCCCCCTTCGATGAAGAGAAGAACTACGAATTGGATGCGCTTGACGAGTTGTAGGATAGCCGGATCGGACAACTTGCCATGCCAAATCTCGTACGTCTCTCCGTTCTTCTCATAGGTCTTGAGGAGGCTTCCGGGAGGGGTCCAGTTGTCGGGGATATTCTTAATAGCTAACTGGAAGTCTTGCTTCGATTGGAAGGCGACTGGGCATTGTTAGCAGACATCGGAAGCGTCATGCTAGAAGAGGGGCGCAAACCTCCGGGCAAGAACTCTCTCAAAGTCTCCCTGATATCAACTGCCTCAACATCACCAACAGCCGTAAATTTGCGCGCGGACGAAACGGAAAGATTCGGTCGCAAATCCCTAGCATCGTATTGCAATTCAATCCTCAAGCCCTTATATCCGAAAATGCTCTCATCCTGGCCAAAGACGGCATACGTAAACTCGGGGTGGAAGGATGCGACTTTATCGATGGCGGTGGCAGTCGGTCGCACAAGCGACAAGGAAAGCGCATTATTGGCATTGACCGTCCCTGAGAGAGATTTAGTACGGGAAATACCTGGTAAGACAGAAATGAGGTAGATGGATCAGGTGTCACCTACACTCGTCCTCCATCTCGACACGCAAGGCTCGCAAGGCTCAGATGTGGATGATCGATCAGCGTTACAAGTCGTCTGGGAATTTTCGATCGGCGAGTTGAGATTGCATGGGATGAGATGAAGACAAGATGCGATCTGATACTCTGCGGCAACAAGTAGCAAGTGGCAGGCGTAAGAGGCAGCTTCGTGAGCTAGCTAGGTAACTGCCAGGCCGTTGCGAGAGAGCAAATTAAATCAATCGATTGAGGACTAGCAATAGAGTCGCGAGGAGAACTGTTGGAATAGCAACTATCTCCTGACTTCCCAATGCGCAATGTGTAAAGGACCCGAGTAAGGAGACGGAGGGAGGGTTCAGTGTAAACCAAACCGACAATGGATGACTTTGGTGGAAGTTTTCGCACCACCTACACTTAACGCGCTTGGAGATATGTAGGTAGGTATATGGCGTTCTGGGTTAGGAACAAGGGTCCTCTAGCTGGGTACCCAGGCACATCTTAAGGTACATGCACCCACCCCCATATCTGTACTGTGATATGACTACCTACGTCATGTACCGAATGCATACATGCAGATATACTTAAGGTACCAAAGATATAAGTATTAAATATTTAATACTACTTATTATAAGTACTTATTTACTATTATAAAAAAGTTAATAGTAAAGTATTTTTATAATAATTATAAATATTTTATTAGTAGTAGTAGTATAATATAAATAAATATTTAATATAATATAATATAATTATATTTAATATTTTTTTAAATATTTTTTTAAAAAAATTAAATGAATAAGTATATCATTATTCTTAATTTATTAACTTATTATTTATTTATAGTAAAAGCAATTCTTAATATAAAATCTATAAACTTTTATTTTTTTTCATAGCATATCGAAGTTAGGTACGTGCTTAGGTAGTACTAACAGGTACGTAAGGTGGTTATGCCTTTCCTAGAGCTGTAGAAGGTACCTATATGCACCCTCTACCTCCTGCCTTAAGAAACCTTAGGTGCCTCCTCTCAAGTACGTGATAGAGCCCTGTACATCCAGCGTTGTGATTTTAGTTAATTATTCCAGTCCACCCCCGGAATAAGAATAACTAAAACAAATAGAATAATAACTAAACTAAACTAAAAAAAAATTTCTACGGAATAAAAATAAACTAAATTAACTAAGGATTAACTAAATTAACTAAAAAAACTAATATTTTGAATATTTTATACATGTAATAATTGAAATTCGAATTTTTATTTTTCTTTAAAAAATAATATATACATAATACGTTATAAATCGTTTATATAGATTATTAATAATCTAAGAAAATTCTAAAACCGTTTTTTTATTAAATTAATAAGTAGAATATAAATATTTTTAAAAGGTTTTTATATATTTCTATAAATTTCTATAAGTTTCTTTAAGATTCTTTATATTATAAATTAAGTTAACTTAATAATAAATCGAACTTTCGAGATTAAATTACTTATTATTATAAAGATCTCATTATATAATACTAGAAACTTCTAGAAATATTATTATATGTATAAATATTCGATAGTTTTCTGAAGGTTTTTATTTTCTCCCTTTTAATCTTACTTTATCATACGAAACTCTAAGCTATATAATTTGATTTTCATATCATTATAAGTTTTAACTTTGGCTCTATTAATTTATATATCAAATCAATATTATATAACAAATATTAAAAGTTCTTCGATTCTAAGAAATATTATAAATAAATCTCAAAATCGTTTATTACCTAATACGGTTAAAGAGCTTATTTTATTCAAGAATTTAAAGGTTAAAGATGTTAAAGAGTTTAAAAAGTTAATGAAAACGAAGAAGATATGGAGAAAGAGATAGAAAATAACAAAGATTGATTATTATTATTTTTTATAAATATAATAAATATAATATTAAGTTCAGTATTAAAGTTATTAGAGTTTAGCTAAAGGTAAAGGGTTAGGGTTCAAGTAAGGGTTAGTATTTAAGTAAGCATTAAAGTTAGATAAGTTTACTATTAGAATAAAGTTTAAAAGAATATATTTATATATTATATTAATATAACTTCTTTATTTTATTCCAAATTTTATAATTAATTAAAATAGTTCTTTTCATATATACTTATATATATAATAAATATATTAAACTAGCATTTTATTACCCTAATATATGAAATAAAAAAAGATTTTTAGTTTTTTTAGTTAATACAATGACTAAAAATATTAACTAAAGTAACTAAGGAATAATTTTAAACTAACTAAAAAATTTTTATTCCAGTCCACCCCCGGAATAATAATGTATTAACTAAGGAATAAATAATTAACTAAAAAAACTAAGGAATAATTTCACAACCCTGTGTACATCTACATCTAGGCTCTTTCCCCACCTAAATTACATCCCCCAAATCTGAATCACTTGTAGGGGTTACCTAAGCAGGGGGCAGGTACCTACCTAGGAGGTAGATAATAATAGGAAGCATATACTTGCGCAAGGGCCAGTGCGAAGTTCCTAGGTAGGAAAATCGGAGCGGCAGTGACGCGCTCTGGCCCCGCCTAGAAAATGGGTAAATTTGTAGCAGGGATTGCCGACAGCCTAGCGGCCGTTTATTGGACACCTGCAGCAACGGCTGGGACGGCTTGAAGATTCGGGCTGGATTTGAGGCTACAATCGAAAAAAAAGTGGCCAACCTACCACCACCACCACCACCACTACAATCATCACTACTACTGCCGTCGCCATTATCTTTCCTTGCCATCCCATCTTCTGCCTCCGTCCCGCCGTCTCCCTCCTGTCGAATCGAGTCCAGTCACGTCGCCTTGACGGGCAATCAGTCAAGTTTGCGGCTTGCCATTCTCTGAACTTGTCAATTCTATTCTTCCTTTTTCAATTGTCTAGTCTCGACCAACCTAGGCGCCGCCCGATTCCCCAGACCCGGAATCCAATGAATCGGTAGCAGGAAACCCTCTCCACCAAGCAATTTCCCTCACGGGCGCCTCCTCCTTGAGTTGAGCGAACACAGCAGCAACCATGGCTGGGACAGGGCTGCTCGTCCTACTCGCCTTGACAGTATGCCGTTTCCCTCCTCCATACCCACCCCCCTAGCTCCCTACGCGGCGACTTGGACACTGATGAACTCTCTTCTTTCCAGGTTGTCATGGCTTTAGCGTGAGTTCCTTCAACAACCCCGCCCCCCCCAAGTATACCAAGCACCTGTCTCTGCAGACCAGAAACCTAACCGAAACAGCTCCTTTCTCGCCGGCGCATTACCGCTATCTATGTCCTTGTCACAATCTCAGCTCCGATTGATATCGAGCATCGGCGTGGGTATCCTCGTCGGTACCTCGCTTATAGTCATAATACCCGAGGGGATCGGCGCGATCACCGAAACTTCCGCCGTCCCCGCCCATTCACAAAATACGAGGAATATACATGCGCCCAAGTCTCTGCTGGAAGTCAAATGGGTAGATAGCCGATCTCTTAGCTCGCAGGGCGATTTAGCATGGACCAACGTACCCGGAAGAAAGGGGGATGGTGACGATGCGTTACATGCGCGTTCCGGTGCAATGATTCCGGAGGAGAGTAGTACCAGCTTCGCGCCCTACGCGAGGAACCCTACGGAGGATCAGGGTACTGCCTCAGACGTAGAGCCGAACCCCGAAGGGGGCCATCGACATGCCCAGGGGGGATTTGAACTTCCTACATTCTACATTGGCCTCTCGCTGATCCTCGGCTTTGTCCTCATGTTCCTGATCGATCGACTGCCCCGTCACGCATCGGAGAACTTCCAGCCGCCGCCAGCGCCCAGGCACATTAGCTTGAGCAATCTAGGCGGCTCGTCCCTGGCTGGTGGCGTAGAGGAACGCGAGGGTTTCCTCGGCTCCTTAGCACCAACACCGAAGCAGTCGAGAAGCCTAGCGACCACCACGGGACTGGTCATCCACGCCGCGGCAGACGGCATCGCGATGGGGGCGTCAGCCACCTCTCCAGATACCAAACTAGGCTTCATCATATTCATCGCCATCATGGTGCACAAGGCGCCCGCGGCCTTCGGACTAACCTCCATCTTGTTGAAACAGGGTCTCTCTAAGCGCGCCGCGCGTGGTCACTTGATCGTCTTTAGCCTAGCTTCTCCATTCGGAGCCTGGGCAACCTTCCTCCTCGTCAGTTTTCTCGGTGGGGGCAGCGGCGGCCAGCTAAACCAGTGGTGGACCGGCATGTTGCTACTATTCTCAGGAGGGACGTTCCTGTAAGTGATGTCCACCACTCCGCTCGGTCTATGTTCGTTAATACCTCCCCAGATATGTCGCGATGCATGCCATGCAAGAAGGAGACTCCCCCTTTGGCCACGATGTAGGCTCGCTAGCCAACGGCTACGACGGCAATCCGCGCAAACACGCACACCCGCAGATGCGGGAGACGCTAGCGACCATGATTGGCATGTTCCTGCCTCTTCTCACACAGTTCGGGCATCACCATTGATGACGTTGGTCCAGCCCGTCCTTCTTCCCATTTTCTTCTATTCTCTAGTTTTCCTTTTCATATTAGATCAGCGCCCCCTCCGTGAGCCATTGGCGGAGCTAGGGGCCGGCCCTGTGGAGCTGAACAGTTAACTTCATATGTTTGAGTCCGGGGGGAAAACGACGGATGGAAGCGGAGATACCTCACAGGCACTATCTCTTATTAAAAGAGAAAGAAAAGGGGGTGAGATTTTGCGATTACGTATCGCGTACGCAAGGGCGTCGTACTGAAACTCTGATTAATTCCCGGCACAACAGAAGTTATGACATGCTCATTCGTGTACAGAATATACCCTCCCGGCATGTAAATAGACTAAACTTGCCGCTAATTCCTATGTACGGATATGATAAAGATAGGGGGAAGGCTCCCCCCCTTTCTAGTCACTCATCACGGGGTGACAGAATTTCCCCACATAGCATCAGGTCCACTTGATACCCATCAATCATTGTTCATTGTGATATACATGCTGTAGCACCTCGTAACGAGGTCTACCCGTCATGCTTATACTCCGGAACCAGACGGATAGCCAGCCATAAGAGGGGGGGAGGAGAGAGAGCTCATGGTTTCTCCTTGCTTTGACTTCATAAAGTGCGGATTTGCGATAGGGTTCATAAGAATGCTTTATCTCTTCATCCAAATCGCTTAGATTATCACTGGCAAGTCTAGCTGAGTGTGTAGATGGGAGCGGCCAACTAACCTGCATGTGGGATATTCAAACCGACAAGGTCGAAGTAATAGGCAGGTAACCCCGAGAGGGTTTTGTCAGTCATACTGAGTGTTTCTCGGCGACGAGGCCACCCAGCAGAAGTATACCATATTGAGCCGTATTACCTCTCTACCTTCTTCGAAAACCGCCAGAGAGTATGGTTTCGTAGTTCGAGGGCCGTATCCATCCTGTTTTCAAAACCGAGCTCTACAATGTTAGTGCGCCTAGAACTTGAACATTCCCGGCTTACAACCGCGAGTCAGCCAAGCAGATGAGTAGATGACCGATATCATACCTCTTTGCTTTGCTCCTGGCGCTCGTGTCTATGTTAGTTAATTTAGGGGTGACATTGATCGCTTTCAGAGCGGCCGTCGGCAGTCCTGAGCAAGCCCTCGGGTGGACGAAGCCATCTATGAGGCGAAACACGAAGACGTACCCGCTCCCAAAGCGTCGACGTCTCACCAGGCGAGGGCGCAGTCGCACATGACTACCACTTATATCGAAGAAACAGCCCATCACAGAATAACCACACCCACAAGCCTATACAACCCACCTTTTCCCCTCAGAGAATAGGTCCCGGCCTATGATGCTACCAGTGTACCTACAAATCACCGGGCCGATGCACACAGGCCCTGGCCCCGGCGAGCTTTGTAAACGACTGTAAGCTGGCAAACGAGCGAGGGCGCTTCAGCCTTGCGTCTCCTGCATAATCACGGTGCAGAAGCCAATGATGGCCGGCGACCATCTTTGAACAGGTCCCAGTTACTTCCGCGTTGCGCAAGTAAGCTGCGGCGCACGCTGGCCGCGGGCGCTCTCGTAGAACTCGCGGGCGGGTTCGGCTCGAGCAAGCAGCAAATGCCGATCGATAGAGACGATGATGTTCTCTCGGAACGCGCGGTCTCGCACCCCAAGGCCCGGACAGACATTCCTGTCCGCTTACTGTGTGGAGTTTGCCGAGACTGCCCCAGTGCAGCAGCGCTTACCGTTCTGCCTATAATGGGGGTTAATCGTCCCTGTTTTATCCGTATTGTAAATCAAGTCGCTGATGCTGACCGATACGATCGGGTCTGGCCCGGTGCGGAGGGACGAACCGGACTGGGCCAACCAAGAAGCCGGACGCATTTTTATTTTTAGCTGGCTGATCAAGACTCGTAGTCATAATTCCGATAGGGTCTTTTCCTGTCAGGTATGTGAGGCCACTCCGAAGGCGAGTGTAGTAGCGCCTGGTAGGTAGAACTAGCTGTCCACGGTCTGAGACACAAGTTGAAGGCCGTAAGCCCAAACGCGATCGTGAACTTTGACGCCTCAACTAAGCCGGTGACCACCTTGGCGCATCAGCAACCCGCTGTTCATAGCCCACGGGAGACCAGCGAGGAGCATGTTAGTGTGATGTCATACATAGCCACCTGTTGCTATACAGAACGAGCTATATGTCCCACGGTCGCTGTGAGGTTCGGGGGGAAGTAATCTCGAGGAGAAACGACTCGCGAGCCCGTGCCGTGTAACGATAGGTCTCTCATATCCGACCAGCGCTTCTCCACGTCCAAGCAAGGTCCTTACGCGTTCGACAGATGATCCTTCCCGCTAGATGACCAGCCACTCGCAGGTGAGAAGTTTGATAGACCGCCCCGCGTCTGGGAGAACTCTCGGAAAGGGATACCTAGAACCGGTGACACAGAGTGTAAGATCTTTGTGACCTTTATCTCGACGCGATTGGTAGCGGCGAAGCTGAGTTTTCTGTAGTGGAAAAGGAAGACACAACCAACGTGTAACTGGGTAGGTAGATAGTGTTTCGAGCCTGCAGGTTTATAAGCCGATAGTGTTGGGGCCGCTTCGGTTCTATGTTGTAAAGCGACAGGATTTAATGGAGAGAACATAAGACGACGAGACAGTGGGATTCGCTTGAGACCCTTGACGCGATCTGTTAACGTTCCTATCAACTCAGGAGCCACCCGGGCAGAGCAGACACGCGTCCGTCATCGGACGTCGAGATGACGCCAAAAAGGGGCGTAGTTCAATATAGATGTAGGCATGCACTTGAACCCCTGTTCGCTCAATGCACATGAAGCCAACATGATATGGGCTAGGACTTCTCCTGCTGGCAATAGCATGCTATACTATACCATGCAGAAGAATCATCGTTATAAACCCGAAGGAAAGTTGCCCCTGTGCCGTTCGTCAGCGCCAATCTATTACAGCGTTTATAATGTTATGTAGGTAGCATACGTTTTACTAACTCCGAAGTAACTATACGCCTCCCTAGGTAGGTAAGCGATTCGAGTATCATATACCGTCGTTCACCGCCGTCCCGTTTTCGTTCACAGGCCCCTCTCTAACCTAACATAGCGCGCCTACAGAAGCTCTGATCGACTAGTCGGTTAAGGATATGCCAGGTTTGCGAGTGTATGTACCATGTCGCCTATAATGCAACCGCTAGGTCAGATGCTCTGGAATGCTCACTTACGGCGCAAACGTCCTAACAAGCTTTCTCCTTGTGCCTAGCAAGGGAGAGTTGGTTTGGTCAACGGCGTGTTGCTAAGACTAACTCTTTATGGCACTCTGAGCCTGGCCAACTCGATTTTGAGATGGGGCCCTAGGGGCGGGCTTACTTACATACGCAACATCATATGCAATGCCGACGAATACTAGCATCTAGATCAATCTAATGAAACGTGGGGGTCAACCCGCGATATCTCGTATAATCTGACGAATGGCATCTAGTGAAGATATCCTGACATGAGGTTAAGGGATATAGCGCGAGAAGTGCCAGAAAAATGAACCCTCCAAATAAATTATGTCAAGTTGGGTGTTAGCTATCACGAAAAGAACCGAATCATACCATCAAACCGAGTTATTCGGATCCTATGAACCCAGTACGCGGCGCCAGTTCCATTCACGCTTACTAGGAGGGTGTCGGCGATTTAATATCCTGCTCATTCTGTGCCGCCCAGCGAATCCTACTGTCCGTGGGATTCCGTTCCGCCTAATCCATCCTCATCCGCAAATGGAATGATGGCACTAGCATAGGGCGGAATGGTGCTCCCAGTATTATGTCTGCGTGAGTATGCGACAGACTTGGGGCACACACCCAAGCTGAATCTGAATCCGGCCAAGATCGCCTTTCGAAGCTCGACGATGAAACGATCTCGTCAATCTAGGTGGCGAAAATGCTGGTCGCAAGGCCAACACCCTGACAACCCCGGTTGCTCGCAGAGGGGCCATCCGGGCGACAATTGACCGCGTTAGGGTAACAAAATGACTGTACGGTTAGGTTGAGAATTGCTATTGCGGTAATAGAAGATCTGGTACATCACATTTGCTAGGCGTGGACTTTCGAGCTTTCTTGTAGTGGTAGCACGGGCTCTCTTATCTATTATGGCATACCTATAGAAATAAAATCGCACCGTTGCCCCTTCGTTTACTCACTCGGGTAGTCATGTGGGCCCAATACTGTGGAGTTTACAGCGATAGTACCTTAGATGTAGGCAAGTAAATCGGCAGCTGAGCATTCGCGGGGGGTCGAATGCTGGTACCCGGGCGAGTACCTATATCCTCAACTCGAGCGAATCGTCGTCGTATCGGTGGGACCGTCGCTGCGAACCGAAGAGCTTTACGAAGCGGCGGAGCTTATGCTGAAACTCGACGTCGAAAATTGACAGGTTCCGTGGCCCGGGTGAGACGGAACCTTGGCTCGGTTCTCTCCACACGTCCCCTCGCACACGATTATCAACGATTGGGTTAACGTACGGACCCTTACGCACGTTGTCGATTGGGGCGCCAACATCGAGCTGCAGCCTCACCTCATGGCTCTAACCATACGCGTCGCCATCGACTCGACGTTCCATCCCCGCCAAGCAACCCATGGTGCTGCCTGGTACATGTTCTGGACCGGGTACTACCGAGACGCCATCCCGCCTAACGTCCTACCCCCCCTGCCACCCTTTAGGTCGCGGACTACGGTAAGATTGATGGGCACTGCGTCGTGCTGACCGCCAAGTCTGAGCATCGGCACCTCAATAATTCACGTGACGGGCGGACCGTTGTACGTGAAGACACACATACCTACCTACGCTGACGGCAGGCGAAGGCGGGGAAGTGATCACAACAGGCCTACAGAGGGGTTGTCAGGGTAGGTTCCCGTGGTGCGTAGCGGTGAAGCCGGGGAGATATCTCCCGCCATCATAAGGATGTCGGGGAAGCGGCCCTCATTGAGCGCTGAGACGAGTTGTTAGGGCTGCAGGAGATCGACCGCATGGCGACTATCAAGGACGATGCATGGCTCAATGGAAAGTTGGTAGGACTTGGAAGCAACCTGCAGGGATAGGTTCAGGGACTCGCGGGATAAGATCATGTTGAGAGGTAACGATGTCCTATAGAAGGGCAGGTTCATTGAGTTGGGATTCTAATATGTGAAGAATAAGGGATAGTGGACGCAAAGCAAGAGTGATGTAATTGAATAACGCTAGCAATGCCCGTCCCCTTGCGATAGATGAGTGGTAGTAGGATTTATTTAGGTAGTTGAAGGTATCCTATGCGCTGGGCCAAGGTAGGACGCTCCGGTCGAGGGGATTGGCGCGTCAACCAGAATGACCGCAGCGCCTCTCTGTATGGGAACAAAGCTTGACTGAAAGGTGTGTAATGTGTGCCTTAGGTGGGTAGGTAGGAGGTAGGTACCTTGGGTTAGATGCTCATAACACCCGCTGAGACGTCCATCCTTAGGCTGAGCGCCTAATATACGTACATACATACCTAGCGAAAAGGCCTGGCCCCTGATGCACTGCCTATCATCATGAGGCGGTTACCTACCTAGGTAGGTAGGCAATTTGCCAAGGTACAAAGGGTCCTTCTAGGTTTAGGTACGGACTGTCTAGCGTATTCAGCAGCCGGGCCGGCGACCTTCTACAGACATGCTATCTACCTAGGTATATTTATTACATGCCTACAGGCTATACCTAGTAAGCTTGCGACCGGTAGGCAGCGAAAAAGCGAGACAACTTCGTAAATCGACCTACCCGAGCCCGGGTAGGCAAGCAGGCAGGTTAGGCAGGGTACATTAAAGGCACAACCTAAGTCGTGGGTGAGCTGGCTTGAATAACGGTGTGCATTCCTATTGGCGGGTACCCGATCCTCTCTCTCCAAGCTCCGCGTACAGATTTGGTTCAGAAAGCTACGTACGTTTCGAGGATGCCTACCTCGTAACGTAAACGTCTAACCCAACCTGCCGACCTAGTCTATTTTCTTACCTGTCGTCTCGTAACGCCCTCGGACTTATCCGCCTGTCCGCCCAACCTATCTACGTCTTAGGTTCCTTGCTATATACCTGCCTGTAAGACCCCTTCCGAGTTTCCAATCTCTAATCATGTTCTCGCCTTATCTGACACCCGATATCAAACAGGAATTACTAAACTCGCTTTTATAACTGGATAACTACGGTACTGCTAGTCCCATAGAAGCTTAGCATGGACTAAGTAGTTATCTAGGCTGCGAAAGTGCACAAAACGCTCCCCAAGCCGTCTCTGTAAAACGGGCGACTTGAGCACATGCCTGACTACCTACCTAGGCGTCTACCTAAGCATCTACCTCCTGGGTAGGTTAGGTACCTACTGCGTGCAACCTCAAGCCGGTTGGCCAGATAAGAACTAACTAGGTATTATGTAGGTAGCTAAGGTAGTGGTCGTCATAGATTTATGTGCATACCTGAACTATGGAACGGACCGTGATGGCGCATTACCAGATGAGCCTAGTATTTTTATCCACTCAGATAGGCAACCATTAATCCTCGTCTGGCAGGGAACATGCGGGTTTCTCTATGTATATGTATGCCCTACAAATATATACACATGTACAGGCAATTCGACCAGTATGAATTAGCGTCTGAATCGCGCTTATTTTAACGCGTTCCTGGCGTTTCCTTCGGTGTGATATTGCCCTCGCCCCTGTCCATCTCAGCAGGTCCCGCCGAGACTATGCAACCGAGTAGGTTGCTAGGATATTCGCAGTCGTAAAAAAAAAAAAGTTTAGTACATACTGAGGTAGGTAGGTATATAGGTACGTGCGATCACGCAAGAGGCAGAAATGCGGCGACGATAATATCCAACTACATGTTGCCTGCCCACCAACCTAATCGTGCCCCCGAATTGCCTTCGATGGGTATGTACCTGTGTGTTATCCTGAAGTCGTTTTTATACACGGCCCTTAGGGGGGCTGTCAGCACCGAACCCCACTCACCTTCACACGCCAATTAGGCTAAGATCACCACCCAAGGCTTGTTTCGCCATGTGGAATACAGGCTTGTTGGTGAATCCAGAATCAAAAAGCATCTGTCTAGGACTGGAGTTGACATGGGCCTCCCTTAGGCAGGTAAGAGACCTAACTTAGGGAAGTTAGCCGGGGAACTCCCCATATGTATGTATGGCGTGGACCCGACATTACGTGCCTGTAGCCAACATGCACAGAGTGTATGTAGATATGTGCACATTGAGGGAATTACCTAAGAGGAGACCAGGTGGCCGATCTCTTTCCAGGCATGTCGTGTCTAACGCCCATTGTGTGCTTATCTTAGGTACCTAACATTGTATAGGTATACTGAGTCACGTGCTTGGTGGTCAGATAATCTCTACTCTACCACGTTCCTGATAAGACGTTGCCTTCTTCGCTCCTTGGTCCAGCCAATCTCCCCCCCCTCCCCCCCCTTTTTCCTTAAATCCCACTCCTGTCTTCTTTTTGCCTCTTCGGCCCATACGGTGATCTGCCAGGGAGGCACAGAACGTCCTAAGGTCTCTTTAGGAGACCTACGACTGCGTCTAACCCAACCTTGCTTATGATGGATCGCTAAAGAGCCCCGGACCCGCAAGCGGCTACCAATTTGGAGCGCGCTAGCCATTCACTCCATCCGGTCCGCCGGCTCTTCAAGCCTCCTCGAGTTCCGTGTCTCGTCCCTTCAGGGTCCTGCCCTAGCCCGATTCCAAGACTCCATGTGTCCCTGATGCCTAAGTGTCTTCTAGTCGGAAGATCCTTGAAATGCGAAACCTGAAGGAACCGAACAAATTAGGTACCTAGATTGGCCGCTCTGTCCGGGAGGTCCCTAGCATTTGCGCGTCGGTTTTTCTATCTACCTACCCAACTGAGATTCTTCCGATAGCTGTCGTCGATGCCAGAATATCAGCAGTGACGGCAGCGGGCACATTTAGGCCTAGGCAGTAAGTAGTCTGCACACCGAGTCGGACTCGCTGATTTGTCCTACAGCCCCCCCTCTCTCCCCCTTTTCCCTCAATTCCTACTCGGCACTCTCTCCTAACTTCCTATGCATGTCAGCCAACCAGCCGCAAGCGGCAGATATGCTCACGCCACGAATCACATTGCCGCTATGGAAACTATCACGTTGAGATTATGCATGTTGTGTTTCACGACTCAAGGTATAATACAACTTCTCGTAGGATCTAATCCGGTATGGGCGTTGCTTCAGCTTAAACCATATGCCTAAAATGTTTAAGACTTGGTATTAGAAGGGGGTGGAGGGCAAGTTGGACCGAGTTGACTCCCGTGGATGGTGCCACGACCAGAGAGCATGGGTTCCTGCACCGCTGTAATCCTGATATCTCGGCGATCCAGGCATGTCAGCGGCGCCAGGTAGCGGGCTGCACGGGTAGCGAGCCACGAGGCGTTATGATCTTCTAAGACGCTAATTCTGAGCGGGGTCCTAGTCAACGGGGTGTCTGTCAGCATTAATACGGCTATCCTCTCTCGGCCTCGACTCGTAGTGGGAGAGGCTTGACCATTAAAGGCCATTGTCCGTCGAATGAGAGGCATCCATTCCTCAGTTCGAGTATCCAGCATTATATCGCAACTCGCTTGACCATGACCGACGCTGCATCCAAGGACAAGAGACGACGCCAGAACCGGGACTCACAACGCCGATTCCGTAAGGCTCTCCGCAAGGAAGCACACCTCCGCTGAGATCATCGGGAAACGCTAATAGCAAGAATTCCGTAGGAGAGCGAAATAAAGCCCGGCAGTCTCTGAGCCTCTCCTTAGCTGGTCAGATCGGGCCTCCCATCTCCTCGCCAGTCTCGCTACTCTCGGGCTCAAACAGTACGTCGCCTGAACAGAACTCCGCCGCTTCACACATCCCAAGCGGCACTTCAAGTCTGCTCTCTTCTGAGGGTCTTCCCTCGACTACCACCGAATGGACGAGTGCTAGAGCGATAACTTCGCCGTCCAGTCGCGGGGATGTACGGTATCGCCACACCCAAAGTTATTACAGCAACCCAAGCTCCGCACCGCCGCATCTGGGACTCCCACCTTTAGCCGCAGTATACTCGATGGACGATATGTCGATGCTCAGTACAAATCGGGATGCTGGGAGCTACCACCAACAGCAGGACTTCGGGCACGTCATGCAAGTAGCCGGGAGCGCGAAGGACGTGGTCCTTTCACCTATATCGTTGCTGGGCGCCGCCGACCTGCAGATGGGCGGGACCGAGCCCTCGAGGCCGTCTCGGGTCGAGGAGCAACTGCGGCGGCCGCCCCGGCGGCGGGCGTCCGAGTCCAGGGCCGAGCAGATGATATCCGACGTCGAGCGGTTGTACGAGTTCGGTGTGCACCTCTCCATCTTCCCAGAGGACGTGTCCCTGCAGAACTCGCTACGGAAGATGAAAGAGCGGTTCCGCGCCCTCGCGAGGACGGATATGTCGGCCGGCGGCGGCATAGGTGGCAGCAGCGGCAGCCGTAAGAGCCTGGACGCCGCTATCGGTAGCGGCGCAGCGAGCGACATCTACGAAGGCTCGACTCGGGAGAGCGATAGCGAGGAGGAGTCAAGCCTGTATCGGCAAGGGCCCCAAAAATCGGGCTTCTTCGAACGCCAGGACGTTGGCCAATGCAGACCGGCAGGCTCCTCCCTGTCATGATAATTCCCGGTTTCGATGGCTTCGCCCGAGCACGACTAGGTGCTTTATATACCTACGTGCATATATAATATCTACATAGAGTGTATCAGTAGGCATAGGTATAGGATGCGTGATTATGATAGTCACTTCGATTATGCATATCCCTCGCTCGGCCTAGGCTGCCAATACCACCATACGGTCAGTCTCCGGTGGTGTAGAGGGACAGACTTCATTGCTAGGCTGTGGCCTCGTTACCTACCTGTTAAGTGCGGCTCCCCCCTACCTCCCTCTCTTCCTACCTGTCGTGGCATCCCAAGGCAAGGCTCTGCACAAAAAACGCTGGGTAATGATATGGAAATCTCGGCAGGTGGTCGTGGTCCCGAGAGGGCATTGATGTAATCATCCGCCCTACACCGTCGATCTCTACCGCTCCTCATCCTTTGCCGCCACCACCAGCAACTAGCAACCCCAAAAAGAAAGAAAAAGAAAGTGAACTCGATTGTCTACCTTCCCGGGGGGCTGGGTCGGACGGCATTTACGTATGCTATGATCTCAATCCCGAAAATTCCCTCTCCCCCCCGGACCTCTTCTTATGTTATCGAGAACCATCCTCCTCTGCCTGCTTGCGGAGTATGGCGGCTAGCTTAGGCCGTGCGCCGCGCCTAGTCACCTGCCCCGCGAGAGAGCTCGCCCGGAAGTCAACCGGAACACAGGGCCGATGTGACACCAGCGGGTTGCGCACAAGTGTGTACGCATCGAAGCTGTTCGCGACTTGCTCTCAATGCCGCCGGCCAAACTCCCTACGCGCTGAAATTCGATGAGGCTGGTAATCGGTTCGAGCACCGGCTACAGCGCATCTCAATCGCCCTGGGGACGCCCCGGATAGCGGGTTATGAGGCGACTGGCGACAATGAGGCGAAAGGTACAATCGTCTGCCCGTCTCGTATAAGTAGAAACCGGCCGGAACTTAGGCTAGATATTTTGCTTGTCCAGGATACTGGATATCTATAAAGCCGTAGGCCAAGACTCGGTCGTAAAACGATACGCTTATGGACATTAATTTTGTCGCTGTCACAAAAGACGTGATAGGTACTTGTAAGTATCTCCTGTCGCTTGATCCACCGCCAGAGCTCGGAACCAGCGCAGATATATCCCGTCTCAGGGGGAAGGCCATGTGTGATTGATATAACGGGATATACCACAGTTATGGCGAGGCCGTCTTCAGAATAATCCAAAGATTCCCACCTCGTCCTAGGAAGTGTGTTACCGTGCCGCCACCCCTCCTAGTGACTGGAAGTTGCTTCATAGCTCTGCGCAAGGAATAAAGGGGAGGCCGGTCTATACTCCTCAGTCCTGTGCCCCTCAGTCCTAACAGACAGTAGGATTTTGCTGTGCCGTTCTATGCCCCTACCGATCGACCTACATGAAACCATTTCCGTCTTTAACAGCCCTCGGCCTCGCTATCGCTTCCGTCCTATTCAAGCTCGGGTTCAGTATAACTTCCGTCAGTAGACTCCTGGTCGACCTCTCCGGGGGGCTCCGAATTGTCAATGCGCGGGGTTGGCGCCCGCGAAGGCGATGGTGGTACAGCAAACGAGGCTTCCCAAGGCTGTGTGTCTGGCGTCTCACTCCCCGGATTGAAGGGGGGTGGTTGGCCGGCCACTCGGTTTGTCGAAACGGATAGGTTATGACTCCGCCACGCCTGCCTATGGATAATTTCCAGAGCGGAGCTGCCGTCACTCAATATTGACGCTGGCCGCCTTTTGCGGTTATTGACTTTCTGTTCGACATCGGTGTTTGCTTCGACTTGAAGGGGCTCCCGGGTAGCTGTCGTCTCCTTAACATCCTCCTCAATGTTAGTCCCTTTATATGTGCTGCGCCGCTGACTCGCATCGGCACCAGCATCCTTGGCCAATTTCCCATAACCATGTTCGGCACTTAAGAGCGGCCCATCTCTTTTCGGTTTGCCTACGGAGTAGTCCCCTCAGTAAGGGCCGAAACCTCTGCGGCGCACCCGCAACGTGTGGAAGAATTGTCTTGCGCATCCAGAACCTGTGTTGATGACGGGCCAATGAACCTGAAGCCCATGCCTTGTCTGAATGGACATCCCATGGTGTTAGACACTGGACCCCAACAAGCCCTAGAGAGAACATGTCGACCTTGTCGGCATACAGCAGCGGCCGTTTCAAGAATTCGGGAGCCATGTAGATGGGTGTTCCGGTATACGTCTCCATATATCCATGCACGTGATATGTGGCAGTTCCGAAGTCAGCTAGTTTGGCGATTAATTCTTGGTTGCGTTGGATCAGGATGCTGTCTGGTTTCACGTCGCGATGCGTGATGCCATTGGCATGCATATATACTAATGCGCTGCTGATTCGTGTCAAAATGATGGTGATACTACGTTCGTCGAGGTCTTTAGGGGAAAGGCTCTTAGGGATATACTCCATAATCAGCCAAGGGGGAGGTTTTTCGTCTTCAGCCAGCACCAGGTCTATGGCTTTACAATGTATGGCTGGAAAATAAAGATAGTCAGTGGTGTCACCACAATACTGAGGCAAAAAGTAATTGCTCATATGATCTAATATGATGATTCTCATACTCCCTTCTTAGTTCCTCCCACCGGTTTCTCACCTTGCCGAAGTCGCCATTGGTGTTATAGTACGGCTCTTTAGCACCAAATACTGCCCCGGATATTCGTTCTTCCACGAGCATAACGGAGGCAGTCGTTCCTTTGGCTTCGACCCCCCCCCCCCCCCCCCCTTATTAGCATACACCGTGTTATTCCTTCTATAGCGGACATTGGAGGTTATCGTTTCAGGCTGACCGTTCAGCGGAGGGAAAGACCTGGGCAAGGAAGCGAGGACTTCCCTGCTCCAATCCAGAGCCTTTCTTCTGTACATCTCGTCCTCAGTAGCTGTCAGCTTCGGGCGCTATGCTTGGGAACTGATAGCCCCGAAGTCGATGGTGGCCATGCGGGAAATATCTATGGACCTTCCTTGGCAGAGGGATACCATGCAGTCCTCATCGACGAGGCGGATAGCACCCGCAAACAATACCGTCAATCTCGGGTTGCACGTGATTGGATGTGTATCGATTCGGAAGTGCCGTCTGCTTATACCGGTCGTGTTGTCCTTAGCGAGCTGGAGGTCACAGGTGTCAGTGTCCGCCGCTGAGCCAAGTATCCAGCCCTCCGGAGAAAATATGTGCTCTCCGAATGCTAGGCACAGCAGAGGGCCCTTGTGATGTTCTTCGGATTCGCCTCCCTTCCAACGTGTGGGTTAATTGGTATCGCAAGTGTGAGGGGTGAACTCGTATCTCGAATTTTCCGACAATTCAAATATGTTGTCGATGATGGTGAAGGATCCTTGAAACAACACTATGTTGGCCAGATCCCAAGTTTGAGTTGTCTCTATGGTTGATAGAAATTGACATAAGATGGGACAGTGCCTTATGAATGCTGGAATCGCGACCTGGGACGTCAGGCTTGCTGCCTAATTTACACCCCAATACTACTATAACGGAGAGTGGAAAGGACGAATAGAAGTTGGCATCGACGCGCCGACTTCCCGTCACGTTGGTTTAGAGCGGCCCTTGGTGACACTGCGTAACTTGCGTTTCGACACGCCCGCCTCTGTATAGTTACCCGCTTTAGATCTCGTTCGATTAGACACTGTCATCTTGTAGGGGTTCAGCCTCTCGACGTAGTAGCTGTCGCAAAGATTCCTCCTTGTGAACCCGGCGCCTTGCTTCCCTTTTCCTCGAGTGCTCTCTTAATTCGTTCTCTTGAAGATTGGATAAGACTTCATACAGCTCTGCTTCGGTCTGCCAGTAATCTTGGGTATCGATGGAGTGTCGAAGTTGTTCAATTTGTTGTGTGGAAGACCCAAGGCTTCTCAAGGCATCTTGATAAAACTTGGCAATGTCCCGCCGGCCCTCCGCTGTCGTCGGCACACCAATGGCCTGGCCGGATTCTTCAAGAGCTATCTTCCATAATTTCTCGGCGACCGCATCCTTGTAATGATCGGCTTCGCGCTCCCAGTACTTGGGCTCGTTGATGCGTGTCGGTACCTTTCGGCTTCGCGAGGATCGAAAATGGGCTCGCAACTCTTCACATATCCATTGATAGCACTGCTCAACGTTTTCGTTCTGAAATTTTGGCTCAGGAGCCGCTTCGTCTCGTAGTCTGGCCGCTTCCTCCAAGCCTTGAGTGAGTCGTTCGGCAAAGTCTTGGGTGAAAAGTTCATCAGGAAGGACAGGTTCCTGGGCTCCGTTAGGTGGCGAGTTCACCTTTTCCCTTGGTATGGTATTCCTGGGATAAGCGCACGAAGCAAGCGTGGAAAGGACGGACAAGACAAGCCCGCTCAGGGCCAGTGGAGTGTGAAGTTGAAGAGTCGTTGGTGGCAGGAAGAATGTGTCGCAAGCAGAACCACGCGTTCGGTTATGTTGAGACGAATTGGAGGAATTAAATATTACCACATGTCACGTGACCACGGGCCACCTTCATCCTACCACAAAACGCTAAAAGTTACTAACTTTGAGCATATTACTTATTAAAATACGTCGAAGCACTCCGCGCTTCTCCACGTTTTCGTACCGAAAACCTAGGGGCCTCTCCGAAGGCTGGGGAAAAAGAGGTAAGTAGGAATCGACGCTTGATTTAACTACGAAAAGAGATTAATTAGTAATCGACTTTTAATTAAACGAGGAGAAACTAACCTCGATTAATTAATTGATATATAAATATGATTAAAATAGGTAGGTAATTAATACGTTAATAGGTAAATAGTAATATATGAATCCTATTGTGTATGCTACGGTTTTATTAAATGTATTCTTTTTAAGTAAGCTGTATGAACTTTTAGCTAATAAAAATAGAGTATCCTTTAAATACTCTATATTTATAAGATTATTTATAAAGTTATTTATAAGATTATTTATAAAATTATTTTTTAAAATAAATTACTCTTATAAATTAATTAATATAACAGGGAGTTTAACGTATTATAGCTATCCTCTGGATAGAATTAATATTAAATTTATTCTTTAAATATTATAATTATAATTTTACTAAACAGTATTCAGTATCTTATTATTTCTAAAATTACTTAAAATATTTTAAACGTTAATAATAACTTATAGCTTTTTAAGAAATATAAAAATAAAAAACTTTTTAAATAAAAGAAGAATATTTAGCTGGACGGCTAGAATATACCAAAGTAAGCTTTATTCTCCCTTCTTCCTAAGAGAACAGGCACACTCTACCGAGATGGCAGCAGGTATTAAGGCCTAGGTACGTATTCCTGTAGGTTAAGGATAGCGCGGATTCGCGTTCACATAAGGTATGCAATTTCTTCGATTCTGGCGGCAAGCTGTGCAGTCTCGAGAGGAAACAGCATTTCACAACACGCCTTGGGCGAGCTTAACGATGGCAATATTGCCCGCCGCACATACCCGTGTCTATAGCACGCATGTACCTGATGCAATAAGGCAGACTTGATGCCACCTCCAAGCTGCCGGGGCGCTTAGTCGCAGGTTCACCCTGCCCACCCCTTATTATAGACGCCCGCCAGTTTAGCTCAGTATCTAAATACGCTCTTGCATGAATGCATGCAGGCCTAACCTTACTATGTTGTCGAGCGGGTGGCATCCTCCTCACAGCGATGGCCTGCACATGGCCTGCACATACCTACGTGAATACATACGTGCCTTACCCGGGCACTGTCGGCGACGTACGACAGCCGTTCGGAGAAGATACCAAATATTATCATAGACTCAATGTCTACCCTTTCGTTCGGAACCGACCTGCCTCATTCACGGTCCCGTATCTACTTAGGTAGGTAGGTAGGTAGGTACCTATGCAATGTGTAGGTACGTACATACCCAGGCGCATCTTTACCTGCAGCGTCACAGTATCAGGTCGCTGGAAAGCACGGTGAATCCAAGGCAGGCATGTTTCGATAACGCGGCCCTGATACAGATTGACATGTAGTTATCCCTTCCGTCCTCCGCCCTCCTCATTTGCAGAGGTTGAGACTAACCCCCCTAAGAGGTCAAGCTGTGCATACTCAGCACACAGGATGTTGTACAATAGGCATTCGGCGCGCTCATGCCTAGAATGCATATGAGTAGGAGCGTCTAATGCATATATGTATGGGAGTATATGTGTAGGTATGCGTTTTATACTTAGATACACCTAGGAGCTAGGAGAGGTAGGTCATGCCTCCAGGTGCCTGCCCTTGGGCGGGTAGGTACCTACGTAGGTATGTAATATAGGTACCTAGGTACCTACCATGCCTACCTAACCTCCTCCTCTTATGCATGTATGAGTATGAGAGCAGAGACAACGCGCTCATTACTTAGGTAGGTACCTACTTGGTGTGCTCCGGGGCCCCCGTTCTTTCCAGAAAGTCAATTGCCTTGCCCATCTCACCATCCCTAACTGACTAATTTCGTTACGCCGTCTGTCCCATCCCATCCCTCTCTTTTTTTCATATTCCATATTTAACACCCCGTCTGAAGAGGAACCCCGACGAGACCACAGCCGCGCTCTCCCTGCCAGCCTAAAAATCGCCCTCTATTTCTTTTTAGGGTGTGTCTCCGTGTCTCGTCTTTCGATTGTGGGAAGAGCACCCAGGCTCCGCTTCTACCTCACTCCAGCCTCCAGTCCGGTGCCCCCAAGAAGAAAGGACTTCTTGCTGGATCACGGCCAATGTCTTTAGGGCCTCTTCTGCCATACATGTTCCTGTCGCTGCCGTCGTCCTCTCCGATTCTCGTAACCTCGCCTCGACCTTCCAGTAGCCTCGGTCTGCTCCTCGCTCCATCTGTGGCCTGAGCCTCGATAACTACTATAGGCCGTTCGACTCACCAATCGCGTTTTCCGAGCGCTTGTCTCATTGATTCGAAGGTACACACATGCGCACACATACACATACACAATCCGTCCTTGTGCTTCCCGACCCCAACACTTGCATGATTGTATGCCCAGTCCTATCATTCCTAGCCCTTGGGCCACGCTTCCCCCGCTGTCTTTTGGCAGACCGACATATCCTAATACTTCGGGCATTGGAGACATTTGGCGCCAGTTCCGCTTCTCGTCGTGCGCGAATAATACTCTTATATAGCCCCCTGGCTCCCTTCGGTTCCTTTCATTGCGAGTGTCGGCTTTATCTCGTCCATGCTGATGGCTAATCCCGTGTTGATGTAATAGTTTGTCTGTACGGCCTACTTCGGACGACGTGGCGGGAAACCGGTCGAAGAACTTGTTCGAATCACCCGTCGAGAATCCGGCTATAGGCGCATCTAGTTGCCTTGACGTAGATCGACGGCATCGCGATCGAGTCTGTACCGCGAATATATCAAAGATGTCGGGATATGGCCGCCCTCTTAGTCTCTCGGGGAGGAGAGGCAGCGTTTTGGCCTGTGGTGATGAGTTGACTCTAGACACCACCAACGCTGCTTCCATCATCATAAATCACAGAATGGATAAGATGATCCAACAGCCCAGGCCGAGGGGGCCGCCTACGCCCAGCATGAGTACCCCTGCTCCTGACTTCGAGCAGCAACTTACAGGATCGCCTCCGCCTCCCCCTACACCCGCGGCCTCACCAGGGCCGACAAACGCGCAGCCCGATTGGAGTGATGCCGCCGACGACGAGGACTTCTTTCTGGCCCACGTACGCCAGCACTTCAAGAACTGTTCGGGCCCGCAGAGGAACCGGATCCTCGCTGATCTACTGAACATATGCACGACTCAACAGCTCAGTTTCGTGCACCAGTTTGTCAGCCCCCTACTTAAGAAAGACCCGTTTACCAGTTTACCGAACGAGCTGTGCTTGAGGATACTGTCCTTTATCGATGATCCGCAGGTCCTCGCACGGGCATCGCAAGTGTCTAAGAGGTGGAGAGATCTTTTGAGTGACGATGTAACGTGGAAAAACCTTTGTGTCAAACACGATTATGGTCGTCGACTTTCTGAAGTTTCCTATGGAATGCAGCCGCTCACATCGAGTAGGCCCGAAGCCATGCCTCTTTCCGACCCTGAATACACCCATAGCTTTTCAGGCGCTATTCCTGGGCTTTCGAATTTTCACCCTGCGGTGCGCAGCTCTGACACCGTCTCGGAAGGTTCATCAAGCCTAGGCCGACCGAAGCTTCGGTCGTATAAGTCTCACTTTAAGCAAAGATACCTCGTCGAGTCGGCGTGGAGGACGGGTGGGCGCAACACTACGCGTACTATCACCCAGGATAATCGCGTCGTGACTAGTTTGCATTTAACCCCGAAATACATTGTCGTCGCTCTTGATAACGCGAGAATTCACATCTTTGATCGGGAAGGCAATGCCCTCCGCACTCTCCAAGGCCATATCATGGGCGTCTGGGCCATGATTCCGTGGGAAGATATCCTCGTCAGCGGGGGGTGCGACCGCGATGTCCGAGTCTGGGATATGACTAATGGGTAAGAGTACTCAGGATCTTTGTCTAATCCTAAACTAATTCCTGGGACAGAAATTGCCTGTATACTCTGCGTGGCCACACGTCGACGGTACGCTGCCTTAAGATGTCAGATGCGAACACTGCAATTTCCGGCTCGCGAGATACCACCTTACGGGTCTGGGATATTAGACAAGGCGTCTGCAAGAACGTGCTTGTCGGTCACCAAGCCAGCGTGAGGTGCCTAGAGATCAAGGGTGACATAGTGGTATCCGGGAGCTACGATGCGACGGCGAAGATATGGAGTATCTCTGAAGGCAGATGCCTCCACACTCTGACTGGACACTTCAGCCAGATCTATGCTATCGCGTTTGACGGCCATCGCGTTGTTACGGGAAGTCTCGACACCAGCGTTCGTGTTTGGGACGCTCATACTGGGTAAGTTTGGGTGCGCCAGATTTCGGGAGCGCACATGCTGATCCGAGGAAAAGCGAGCCTATTGCCGTTCTTCAGGGCCATACCTCCTTAGTAGGCCAGCTACAGCTCCGCGGAAACACGCTCGTCACTGGTGGCTCCGACGGCTCGGTCAGGGTTTGGTCTCTCGAGAAGATGTGCCCGATCCACCGGCTAGCAGCACATGATAACAGCGTCACCAGTCTCCAGTTTGACGACACCCGTGTCGTAAGCGGTGGTAGCGACGGCAGGGTCAAAGTATGGGACGTGAAGACTGGCCATCTCGTCCGCGAGCTCATCACCGCCGAGTCCGTTTGGAGGGTCGTCTTTGAAGACGAAAAGTGCGTCGCGGTTGCTAATAGGGGTAGTAGAGTTATGATGGAGGTAAGCCAGCCCATCCCAGGTCGATCCGATGACCTATTTCTCACATACCTGTCCAGGTATGGTCGTTTTCACCCCCCGAGGACGCATTTTGCGAGAGACAGCTTTCCCTCCCCCAAACGCTAGCCGAACCATCTCCGAACCGACCTCTCACGGGCGACTTCCGGCGGTCTACATTAGGGTTAGGATGCTCGGATGAAGACCCCGGGAGCAAGGATGTGGACATGAGCGATGCCGGCCCGTCTACCGCGCCTCTCATCGGCAATTCGACATTCTTCCACGACGATTAGTGTACTATATTTGGCTTTTCGGAAGCAGCATATTTTCACTTCGAACCCGGTTATCATCCGCATAGTCCTTCACAGCCACCAGCTTTCCACATTCCTGGTTCCTCAGAAAACCCTACCGGTGCTGGACCAGTACTTGAATGTATTGCATTTGTCGGCGTTGAAGTATGGTGTCATTTTCTAAGCATTATCTGCGCACCCATCCGGGGGTGTGAAGAAGAGACTGTGGAGGGCGGGTTCGAAACGGCGCAAATGATGGCACGGCTTAGCATCCTCCCAGGCTACCTTATCTTGGGAAGTTTGAGAGCAGCACCTTTTAAGACTGCCGGGGGCGCTTCACGGGAAACAAGGGGAGAGGGTGCCACTATCAAACTACGTTATCATAAAACCGTCAGAAGGTTTACATCTTATCATGTTGCTCTTAGCGTGAGGATACAGCGATGGAGAGGGATGGGTAATGGAAAGGAAGGGAAGGGGACAAGGAATGGAGATATTACTTTTTCATCGTTGCTATCGTCGAGTCCCTGCAGAGGCGAGCCAGTCTAGATGTTATGTATATGTTGAGACGGACGAAATGACGGCGGCTATTTAAGGCAGGCATTAGAAGGGTCGCGCTAGCGGCCTTCTCCAGTGACAGGTAGGTACTCGGTACGGGTGACTTAGACGCAGTAGTAATCATTGCCCGGCTTTATCCGCCCTCCAGCGGTGATGTACATGGCATGAGTGCGTGAGTAATGGTCTATCAGAGGCAGGTGGTAGATGAGGGCTAGAAGTAGGCGTGTGTAAGCATATTCGCCAGAGAGAAGTGATGGGGGAAGCTGTGGACGGGGTGAGCCATGTATCCCACGATAGTCGACAGTGGGGTGCGTCATAGTATATATAAATCCGTATGTCTGGGTATATAAATATATCCCCGTAGTGGCGATTCCTTTTGTACGACACTACTAGAGCATGGCCGGACCGGATAAGAACTCCTAGGCATGTTATAACGTCGTCTCATGGAGTGGTACAAGCCGTTCCTGGCGCTCATGTGCACGGTCTAGCCTCCTCGTTACACTTCTGACGCGTGTGGACGGATAGGTAGAGAAAGGGGGGAGGGCCATCAATTGACAGTCGCCTCGTCTCCCGCGATGCCCAGCCACTCGTCAGCGAGGACGCGCCTCTCCCGAGCGGTGAGGCCATCTTCGCCGTCCGTCCCTGCGTCGGCGCGGCATAGTTCTAGGTGCGCTAGCTCGCGCGCCGCGGCATCGACGTTGCTGATGGCGGCTTTCTGGAGGAGGTTCATCCACTCACCTGCCCCTCCCCCCTTTTCTCCTTCTCGTCTCGTCCCCGGCTCTGTCTCTCCTGGAGAGGGGGTGCGAAGCAGCTGCGCTAGCTCGTAATGCGCCTCGGCGTTATCAAGCTCGTAGACCCCGATGCGTAGGGCCGTCACGGCCGCCCGCTCCCACCCCCGCCGCAGGTATATCCGCGCTTGAGCGAGTACGGCGCTCGAGAACCACTGCCATGCCACGGCTGCCGGGCGGCCATCGCCGTCGCCACTACCGCGCCGGGCATCCGCGAAGATCTGCGCCGCCTCCTCGAAGTACCGCAGCGCCCGGTCGTCAGCTTCGGGGTCGGCTCCGGCCTGTTGGTTCTGCCGCTGGATCTGCGCGAGTCCGAGAAGTGTCAGGGCATCCGGTCGATAGTAGGGGCTGGAGTTGCTGTCCTTCCGGGCTAGCCTCTCAACAGCCCCGCGCGCGTCTAGGAACTGCGGGCCGTTGAAGAGGCCGCGGCGCAGGGCGATGCGGGCGAGCGTCAGCGCGGAGGGCGCGTAATCGAGCATGGCGCCCGTGTGCAGGATATGCGTGGCGAGGTGGCCGGCGAGGACGGGCGGCCGCGTGATCATCATGACGGCGGCGTAGTGCAGCGTATACAGCAAGATCCTAGAGTCGTTGCCGTGAGAAGAGACAGAGGCGCTGAGCGCCCGATGCCGCCACCCGCGCTCGCCGCTGATTGCCAGCGCGGCGTACCGCCCGCAGGCCTCGGAACAGGCCTCCGGGTGGATGAGCTTATCGTCTTCCGGGAGTAGAAGGTCTCGCGCGCGCGGCGCCCAGACTGACGGCGGCGGCACGTCGGCGACAGTAAAGCGCACCCGGGCGAAGGTGTCCCGATGGGGCACAGCGCGCACCTTCTCTGCTGTACGCCGGGTCGAGCTTATGGACCGGGCGGAAGCGAGGTGGGAGCCGGAGGGGATCCGGACGCGATGGGAAGGAGGCGCGGAGGAGTGGGGGGGGTTGGCGAGGGACCTTATCCGCGGCGGATTGTGCAGACGCATGATGAGAGGCCGGACGGGAGACGGGGCAGTTATTCTTCTTTTTTACAACCACCCTTTTCAAGGAGTAGACCTAAACAAGAACCGGGCTCAGTTCTTGGTGGGATTGGCTTATTCTCACGATGGGTGCCGGTTCGGTAAGCTCCCAAGCAGTGGAAGAGCCCCACCAAACACCCAAGATGGATGTTTTATACCCCTTCGAAGGCGACAGGACTCGCCCCGGGGATCTCGGCAGAGTACTAGTACTGGATTAAATCAAAACATCATGTTCGCAGACCAGAGGATGAAGCCGAGACGTTAAAGATGTTAGGTACCTTGGGTAGTATTTAGTAGGTAGGTGTAATTTGTGACCACTGTGTGTAGATGGTGAGATACTTGCATAATTATGAAGCACAATCTAATACTCTATTATACCTAGAATTATATGCTGTATTGTGCTATTTTAAGCTGTTGTATAGATATGAATTTATATTGTGCAGCGGTGCACTAAGCTGTGTTGTGCCATGTGATAATAGATGCTAACTCCCAGCTTTCCAGGTGGTCAGGTACCTAGGTACTTAGGTACCTAAAGTCGTAGGTGGTATCTGTCAAATATTAGGAGCCTATCAGTGATTTTATCTTATCAACAAACAAATAGAAAAGTTGCGACAACGCGCAGAGGAGGACCGGATCGCGCACCAAAAAACGCAACGAAATGAATAAGTGAAATAACCACGACGCCCACCTACTTTCCTGCCCCCGGAGCCAGCTTCAGAATTGCACGATAGTCCCCATTCTTGCGTGGCCAGCTGAGAACTAAGGCCGTCATGGACCCATCCACGACGGGGCAGATAGGGCAGACGATCTCGAAGCCCACTGCCGCAGACGATGCAGCCAATACACCGCCGGCGTTAGATGCGACAAGGGCAACGATAGCCGACCTCTCTCTCGAAGAGGAGCCAGCTTCGTCGCTCAGAAGGCGTAAGCTAACAGGAAGCGAGAGGGACGGGAATAGCGACACCGTCACAAACCCGGACCCAGAGAGCCCGAAGCGACAGGCGCTCACGCTGCGCACGAGAGAAGAGAGCGAAAGGTCCGGCAGTAGACGAAGAACGAGAGCCGAGATGGATACACCCAAGATCGTAGCGTCGAAGGGCTCTCGCATAAGTCGAGTGCTAGATTCGGAAGCTAGAGAGGACCATGTGTCAGAACTAGAGCCTAGGACGGAACCCACAAACGCCCCGAAGCAGCTCCATGAGGAGGCGAGCCATAAATCGGGGGAATCCCACGGGCTAGATCCTAAACCGAAGAATAAGCATGTCGTGTTCGGCGACGACGACGACGTAGACGACTTCATCGCCAAGGCGAACCGAGAGGTAGGGATGGCGGAAGTAAGCGGGCGTAACGAACAAGAAAGTGGTAGCGATGACGATGACACGCCCGAGGCGGTATCAACGCGTGACTCTGCCCAGAAGGTGCACAGGGATGTCCAGGAGGCGTACGAGGTAACCGAGAGGTAAGATTCTAGTCTCGAGTTTCCCGGGAGTTTCTTACGTTTACCATATTGCTAACTCTGCACCACTCTCTATAGAACAACTGCATCTCTGAAACGGAAGCGTCGGGAAAGGGACAGCCTCTACAAGAAACAAGCAGAGCAACGCAAACGCACTCGCGTGACAGTGGAGGTTCATCAGGCCAAACCGGGAAGTGCGCCGCCCGGCGAGGCAGATCAGGAGGGCCGAAGGGGCGAGATAGCCGAATTTGAAAAGGGGGTAACGGGCGGAAGACGGCGGGTCGAGAAATTCAACCTACCCACCGTGCTGCCGGCTGAGTTCCTGACAGATTCATCGAGCGACGACGAGGCACTGGAACGGGTAGCCAAGAAACCCAAGAAGATCACTTTTGAGGATGCCGCTGAGGCGCTCGGTAGTGGCGAGAGCAGCAAGAAGTTGCGGGACGAGGTCGTCGGGTCCACGAGGTACAGGGTCCTAGCGCAAGAGGGCGATTCAAATCTTGCTCCTCCATCAAGAAGGGGCGCTAAGCGTCCTAAGGAGAATCTCCTGAAGAGGACGCGTGTCGGCGTCACGCAGAATAAGGGCTTCCTCGTCAAGCGGTAGAGACGGCCTATTCTACTATTCTATGAACAACTTTCTTCGCCCCATCCGGATTCGAGACCTCGGCGAGATAGAAAATCGTATATAGCTGCTTTCAAGAACCGTTGACCGCGTTCGTGGATCTAGTTCCGACATATATTCAACCTATATAACCTATATATCTTACCATGCGAACGGGACGGGGGGGGGGGGGGGTTAAGGCGTCGGCGTAGCGGTCTTGATAATATCCAGCTAGTCTCTAATGCAAGTGCCTTTATCGTCAAATTGTTATGCCCGCCCCATTAGACATTATTATAGCATCATTCAGCACGCGTGGGGAATGTGTGGACGTGTATGGCCTAGTAGTAGGTACCCCATGGTGATATCGTGAGGAGTTCAGTCACCCATAAGTCTCATCGCCATCGTTATGGAGAATAAACACACCCTGCACTGCAAGACCACATGGCTGCAGAGTGGCGTCGACGGATCTCCTCCAGGGTCTCTCGAGAGGGTTCCCCAGCACGGCGACATATCCGAGAGACGGGCGACCCCCGAGACCGTATGCCAGATGCTCTCTCTAGACGCATCGCCGCCGACCTATTGGGCGGGCTGAAGACGTAGCCGCGATGGGCAGGCAATCAATATGTCGCTGCCGGGAATAAGAACAGCGGGATGACGGGGCTCCCGGCTACGCGACTACCCTAGTCTTCGCGAAAATTACCACTAGGCACTATTCGATCGCCAGCCAAGGTCGCATAGGGACGTAACGAGCGCTGTCCAGGAGGCGGTGCCCTGATCCGCCCCCCCCCCCCCCCCCCTCCCCCTGCATCCCCTCCCCCGCGGCAGCAGAGGCAGAGCTAGAGACAGCGGCGCACCAGCCGAAGCCGCGCCCCGCGAGGGCCGGCTGGCTTGCGCATTCTCGCGCTCCTAGCACGTGCCCGAGGTGCAGCAGCAGGTAACCTAAGTGATGGGTGGGCGAGCGAGCGGTCGTCACAAGCCTGGAATCAGCTAGGTCGCAGGAGCGGTGCGGCAGGTCTCCCTCGAAAGGGGGGGGGGGGGTAAGGAAAGCATTGGCTGCTCGGTCGACCGTCCAGACACCTTGGCTGACGGTGTAGCGGCGACGTGGGTATGCTTGGCAGGCAGAGAAGCAGGCAGGCAGGCAGGCAGGTGAGGCTGCTCGTATCGCAAAGAAACAGCGCCTTCGGGCTCGTCGTCATCTAAGTATCTTGCCATGTTAGCCGTCTTCCACCGCGATTGATATTACAGAAGGCAGGCGGGCTATCCTATGCCCCCTATTCTCGGGGGGGGGGGGGGGGGGGAGGGGCACTGCCTACCTTTTCGATGCTACCGCTACTATTTTCCCCTACGGCGGGTCGATCGTAAAGATAGATATTTTCGGGCGTGTCTCCTAATCTCCATCTCCTGGTTGCTCGCTCACTACTGCCCCCGACAATGCCTATTTTTTTCTCATGGTACTATACGTGGCAACCCTCATAGGGGGTAGGCGGGAGCAGCGGCAGGCAAAAGTACTAACTGCCTGCCCCGGAATAAAAAATATATAAATGAGAAAAACAAAGGAAATTGGCCCCTGACCTGATACTCGTCAGCAGGACGAGACGAGATTTCTTCTCCTCTCCTCCGGTACCTAATATTGTAGCTCCCCCTCTCCCCCCCCCCCCTCTGTATCCTCCCCTACCCCCCCTCTTCTCCGGCACCAGGTCTTGCCGCTCTGTATGAGCCAGCTGAGCAGGCAAGCCATCCACAGGAAGCAGCACCTTTCTCCAGTAAGAGACCGCCGAGAAGAACGACAAGAAAAAAATACGAAAAGCAAAGAAAATCCTTTACGACATTCCTATATACAGCTACATAGGTTTTGAACCATCCCGCCTCGACTGGACTGGCCGAGCCGACTAATGGCATATAAACAACATGCTCGCTTACTGCCATAGCCGTCGGCGACAAATCCTCATTGCCACGCCCAGGGAATTACCTAAGTCGGGCTGGTCTTCGTGTATTTAGTCGTCGTTACCGTTAAGCAGTACGCGCCGAGACGTAAAATATACTACCTACCTACCTACCTAAGTCGGGCTACACGCGGGACCCGCCTAGGTACCTCTTACACTGGGTACCTATAGTCTGTAAGCACGAGAGGTACGAGTGTCAGCAGAGTGTAGTAGAGTAGGAGTGTGTTGTATTGTATTGGTGGGGGATGGAGCTGACGACCGTCGTGCTGCAATCACATGTAGGCAATATATATAGGCGGGTGTATCGTATCGGCTTGCGCATTTGTGCAAGCACACACATATTCGGCTGTCTGTTCTCCTGCGCGTACCATGTGTAATATGTAACTGTTGTAGGCACATGCACGGGCACGATATGTAGTGCTAACCAAGCAAGGCAGCCGAGCCACTCCACGCAGCCCAAGCGGTACACGCATGTGCGCCGCGCCGTTCGTAAGAGCAGCCTGTTGGAAAAAAGAAGGCGAGGAACGATTAGAAACAGCCAGAGAAGTAATATGCGAGTGGGTGGGCGAGCGAGGCACACGTGCTTAACCGCCCCTCCTCCCTCCTCCCTGCCATGTGAGTAAGTGGAGTAGAACGAAAGAAGGGTCGGAAGAGGCGTGGAAGCGAAGTTGTCAGGATAGGCAGTCGGGTAGATCATGCAAGCAAAACGAGGCAAGACGAGTAAGGCATGTTTGGTAATCCGCCCCGTCCGAGCTCGCTGCGCGGTAGCGGAGAGAGAGAGGAACCGCCGGCGTAGGACCGGACTGGTGGTGTGAAGAAAGGAGATCTGCGTTAGATGGGGTAGGTAGGCAGGCGGGCGAGCAGGTAGCTGAGGGGGGCTAACGGGATGGAAACCGAGGAAAAAGGAGACACAAAATGAGGGAGAGGCAGAGAGAGAAAGTCAGTCTGCGGAAGCTAGATAGGCAGGAGAGAGGCACGGTGGTCGGGCGGTTGGGGGAAGGGATGTTGGCTGGGTAGGTTTAGCCGCCAGCCTGTATTTTCGAAGGATCTGACCACCTCTCACTGCGTATCGTATAGGTTAGGCTAGGTGCGTGTTTCTCTACATGTAGGCGGGTTAGATGTAGGTAAGTGGTGTGTGTGGGGGAGTGGTGATTGGACGTCTACGAACCTACCGGCTTACGTATGGTACCTACAGTAGTGTGTGGCCCGTCGTCATGCGTACCTATCACGCAAGCACCCGAAGGTGGTCGTGTCGGCGCTGAAGATAAGGTTGCCTGCTTTGCCGCCGCCGGGGTGCGATCCTCCCGAGGCCTCTCATTGCCGGGGGAAACAGCATGAGAGGGAGGAAGATGGTGGGACCGGCCAGGTGAGTATGCGTGAATGTGAGCGGGTGGCGACGGGTAATTAGCTGGCTCGTGGGCTGCTTCTTCGTAGCCGGCAACATGAGAACGTACGTACAGACATATACACGTACATCAACCGTCCCAGTATAGGCAAGTGAACTGGTTTCTAGTTTAGGCTCGGCTGCGACGTATAATAAGGGCGTGGCGTAAGTGTGTGTATACGTGCCCGCAAGAGCTAGAGAGATGGAGAGAGGGGGGAGGGGAGGAAGGGAAATGGCGTGCAAGTATGAAACGGCTGGGCAGGCATGTACGGCACGCCCTTACAGGCTGTACCTATTGGTATGCTCGCTGCCAATCTGATCGATACCTTGCTCACCATGTGGCGGGACTGCAATGTATGCAAGGAATGATATGATGGACGACAGAGGGACGACGGGATTCGCACGCGCCCCCTTCGTTCCTCATGCATGTATACGAGATCGGCCGGGCTAGATGACGCCTCACGCACGCCTTCGTGCGAAGATCCGTCTACGTCAGGCAGCATTTTTTTTTTCTCGGGGGGGAAGGAGAACGAGGGAGAATACAAAGAAGAAACGGGGACGGCGATAATGACAGCAGGAAAATCCCACGTCCGAAAGTTGGCACAGAGGGCACACGATTCCTCCGCGGGACGAGGGAGACCTACCTACCTACCTAGGTAGATAGTAAGCCAAAGAGAAGGATGAACAAGCGAACCAGCAGGCTCCGGCATACGCAATACGAAAGCGAGAAGCGGGAAAGAAGAGGGATCCGTCACCAGGCAAGATGTGGCCCACCTACCTATATCGCACCCGCTCGCGTTACGCGTACACTGTGCGGGGAGAATGGCGCAAGAAGGCTCCGAGGGGGGCCTCGAAGGAGCCAGGCGACGAGCCACAGCAGCAGCAGGAGGACAAGATCTCATCCGCGAGCACGAGATGCTGCGATGGTAGGAACGGGATGGACGATTTGCGACCTGGCGGAACAGGCAACGGGGGTGTGAATGGGCGTGGCAGGTCGTCCCGCGCCTACGCAGCTACACTAGACGGATGACGACGTATTTGTAGGTGTGCGGGAGGAGCTGTCCCGAAATGCGCGCCCGGGTCGGGTTCGCTACCGAGGTGCGCTGCGCCTCTCATCCGTCCGAGATCTGACCGTGATGTAGGTACAACCTGTCAGGTTACGTATATACCTATGCACAGCGCGTACGTCCTGAGAGATGTTAGTGGCTATAAGTTCTCGAAGACTACCTAAGGTAGGCTCTTTCGACGATTTTGTGTGCTACGTTGTCGCGAGCTGAGTGGGAGGACCTGCCTATGTATGCAGCAGGTAGCGGCGGCGGTAGGGAGAGAAGATGTCTCTCTACGGCAAGATCTACCCTAGGAACAACAGGTGTGCTTTACGCAGACCACGTTGATAAGACGAGTACTCATAGGAAGGACGAGTGGTCTGTGTGTAGCAGGTAGGCTGGTTAGGTGAGTATCGTACTCGTGCGTAGCTATAACCTGGTCGGGCTGGCCACCCCATCGGAGGCTGAGGGTGTAAAAGGGGCGAAGGTGGAGGAGGAGGTGGTAAGTAAAGGAAGGGAAAGGGAAGGGAGAAGGAGGGGAGGGGATTTCCCCCGATTGTGGGCTATCATGCGGGGGCCGCTCTGCGAGCTGTCCATCTTCGAGATAGACTTAAGCATAAAGTGGGAGCGTGGAGATGATCGTGAACGTCAGCGAGCTAAGGAGGGCTTGACGTGGCGAAGGAAGCAGACGGGGTTCGCTAGAGAGGCTCCTGCGTACCTTGCCGCTGCATCCGTCGAGATAAACTTCCGAGTCCCGGCGCCTCAATCTCACCCTGTCTCTCCTTCTCGCTCTACTCAGTGATATTTCGTCGACTACTTTCTCTCCATCCTACCAGGATGGTGATTATGGTTCTCTCAAGTCTTAGACGAGGAGGCGGCTCCAAGGGGGGGGGAGGAAAGGGGCGGTGCCGAGACACGGTGTGCAACTATAGTACTCATAGGACCTCGCTCTTCTTTGCTCGCTCTACCGTTCTTTCTCTCTCGTCTCGGTCTCTCTAAACGAATTCTCCCAACGAAAGAACCAGGCCTTGTTTAGCGGCAGGCCGTCTCTGCAGGGAGCCCGGGAGGCCATTCGGCCTTGGTAGTGGCGCCAACCCGATCCATACATAGGTACCGATCTTAACCCACCCCGTCCCTACATGCGTACATAGCATAGATACTGACCGAAGGCCTGCGCTGATTCTGTTGCCGCCGACGGCCTGATTCTCGAAGTTGCCTCCAAACATCTGTCGACTCTCGGGCGTCTCGACCTAGCTTGTGGAGAAGATTCGGTGGGGAAAACGGATGCTTGCGTTACAACGTGCAGAAGCGGCCTCCTAGTACCTAATCCTAGCGAAGAGTCTCGGGCCTAGGGTCCTGATGCGAGAGAGAATTGGGCGCGGAGAGGCCTGGCAGGCAAGAAAATACATATGAACTTAGTGTGGCGGTGCCTGAAGATGCGGTGCTCGTGAAGACGACGAAGTTAGAAAATGAGTTGGAAAGGAAAAAAAGAGAGAAAAGAGAAAAGTCCTCCACTCCCACACGGATTGAGATGTGCTACTTTGTGTACCTCCCTACCTGCCTACCTCCCCTAAAGCACTACGTGTAAAGGGACTCAATATAGTAGGGGGTACCGAAGGTATTGAGAAAATAAAAGGCGGGCTTATTATCCCTTTTCGTCCTGTAACATGCCTCAATCGCAGCCCCATGTGCCGAGGCCCATACTGTAGGTACTAATAAAAGGTACCTACCTGCCTGCCTGCTTACCTCAATCCACCTCGCAACTTCTATGTAACTTGACAGTTACAAACCCAAGTGCAAGGGAGGTGACGCCGTAACGGCGGTAGGGGACGCAGGAGAAGAATAAGGAGGGGAAATGCAAGGTTCCGAGATGTGTATAACGGATGCGGACATTACTTTAATCTACCTTCCTCCTTACCTTAGGTACCCATGGCCGCCTCCTAAGGTAACGTACGTACCTATACGTAACATACTAAGTACTACCTCCTCGTTTCATCATCGCTACCAAGGGAAACGATGCGACGGGATTTAACGCAGGCGAAATAAGATCTCTGGTTTACTGGAACGAACCGGCCTGTGCACCCACCCGCTGCGAATAAAAACCCACCTTCGAACTACTACTCTACACAGGGATTCCAGGTTAGGGAATGCATGTTCTCGAAGCTCGGCGACCCCATACGTTTGCATCCATACCTATAGTAGATGCATAGACTTTAGCTGGTCACGGAATGCATGCGTAGAGAGTTGGGACGAAGACTGCAGCTGCAGACATACGGATAGAGGTACCTACGTGTACATGTGCCATTAAACACCCAACATGTACCCATGCGTCTACCCCCTCCATGTACCTACATACCTAGGTAGGTAGGTTAGGTACCTACCTGGTCTAGGAGGTAGGTACAGGTAGGTACCTCTTCGCAAATCCTTAGGAAGGAGACCCAGTGGACCATCCACATACATATATCTATGTTCTATGGTACCGCGCAAGCGACGATACCACGCTCGACGTCCGTATCGCATGTGGTGGTAGCACCGAGGCGGGCCTGGTAGCCACGAAATCTCCACGTCCGGGATCTTATGACCGGCTGCCCGTAGCCTTTTTCTCTCCGCTACAGGGTTGGATTTACCTCCGAAGCGGGTAGAATCAACTGATTTGAATTTCCTTTTACCTTGTGAGGCGGGGGCTAGCAACTAGCTCTTCATATGAGTATAGTCTCAACTAAGCCCCCGGATCGAAGGGCGCGGATGGGGAACGGGACAGACAAACCAACCCCTCACGCCTTGTTCCCACGGTTTAATGGGGCAACCAAACAAGATAGGCAGATATTCCCAAAGTTCCCCCCCGTTGAGCCACCACCACTATTGCTACCGGTACTCATTACCTACGCAGTTTGTCCCCCTTCCCGAAAAAAAATTCCGACACAAATACACGCATAGCTAGGTGGCACTCTACACGATCTCGTCTCTGTGCGTGAATCGATGTGAGAAGGGGAAAGAGGGCGGGGGTGTCTCGAGCAATACGGTGATGGCGATGATTCCTCGTCCGCTCCTCCCGCGGTAGTAAGACGATGATTTCTATCAAGAAGGCAAGGCAAAAAGTCGGGAATCTCGAAGTGCAACATGTTGGAGAGGCCCGTTGATCATAGGGTATCATCGCTCTAGCCTCGACATGCGAGCACAACTTCATTCGCTCTCCCTCGATATGCAGCGCGGCCGTCTGGTCCGTTCTGCATCGGCTATTGGACCAAACCGTCGAGCGCCCCCCCTCAAGCATGATACGCTAATACCTACTGCCAGAGGAGGATTCTTGTGGCACTGCCTGGTGAGCCTGTATTCGGCCAAATATAATGCACACTACCCGCGTCGAGGGTGTACGCCTATGCTTCCTCCTCCTCCCCGCCGCCTCCTACTACTCCTCATCCTACTATGCTACTCACTCTATCTCTCTCGCCCTGCTGGCTCCTTGCGGCGACCCTGGGGCACTCCTGGGGCACTCTTGGACACTTACCCCACGCCGCGTTGGGCACCCCT